TTGCAGACCTCATTGCTCAAAGGATGCCCTGGCCATGCAGTACCAGCCCTTCAGTGTCTCTGAAGGCTTAAATCAGCAGAAAACTGACCCTGTGGAACAGAAAACCACAGAATGGTTTGTGTTGGAAGGGACCTTAAAGCTCCTCCAGCTCCAACCCCTGACACGGGCAGGGACACCTTCCACTGGAGCAGCTTGCTCCAAGCCCCTGTGTCCAACCTGGCCTTGAACACTGCCAGGGATGGGGCAGCCACAGCTCCTATGGGAAGGGCACAGCTTCCCATAGCAGGACGGGTGGATGGTGTGAGGTATGGGCATGAGGGACCAGCGACGATCCCCCTGCCTGGGTGCAGCAAGCTGTTGGCTTCCCTCAGCTGTAACCCCATACTCACTCATGCCACTGGCTGGTGTCCAGCCCTCCCCCTGGCAGGGGCTATCTATGCCTCACACCTCCGTTCCCACCATAGTCCCGGAGACAACAGGGATTGATGGAGAACCATCCTGGGGCTGGAGGAGAGCCCCTGGGGGTGTGCAGATGAACGGGGTACTTCACTGTGCAGTGCAGCACAGCAGGTGTGCCTCTAAACACCCTTATAATGTGGTTTCTGTAGCTCTGTGTGCCTTGCATTACACGGGTACTTATCCAAGAGGGAAGGCTGCACTGTTTCATCATTCCTTCCCCTGTGCCCTTCATTCGTCTCCTCAGCTAAAGTGAAACACTCTGCATGGAGAAGCTGGGGCAAAGCAGGTCTCACCATGAGACCTTGCCATGATCCGGCTGACACATCCCAGCCATGCCCGGCTGTGGTGTTCATCAGGCAGGGAGATCAGCTCCCAGGGAGCAAAGCAGGGAAATGAAGGCCTGAAACGAAGAGAAAATCCAGATTTTGATGGGTAAAACCAGGCTGATGAGGGTGCACAACGAGAAGCCTGCAGACAGGACGGGGGACTGGCACGGAACAGAGAGCTGGTGGAAAACATACTGCATCACATCAGTGAGGTGTGCCTAATGTCACCACCATCTACGGATGAAGGTCACAACATACCCTGGTACCTTGCCTATGCACCATTCTAGTCCTACATTGTGATGTATATACTAGCCCCATTTAGAAAAGCTCAGATCTGTCCAGCACAGGGAGGCCCAGTTCAGACCAGTTCAGCCACTCCAGCCCACTTCAGCCCAGTTTAGCACACTTCAGCCCACTTCAGCCCTGTTCAGCCTAGTTTAGCTTTGTTCACCCCAGTTTAGCTTTGTCCAGCCCAGTTTAGCCCAGTATAGCCCAGCCCAGCCTCTTTTAGCCCAATTAAGCCTAGTTTGGCCCAGTTCAGACCTCTCCAGACCAGTTTAGCCCAGTTTGGCTCAGTCCAGCCCAGCCCAGTTTAGCCCACTTGAGGCCACTCCATTTAGCCCAGTCCAGACAAGTTGAGCCCAGTTCAGCTCATTTTAGACTGGTCCAGCCCAGTTCAGACCAATGGAGCCAAGGCCAGTTTAGCCCACTTCAGCCCTGTTCAGCCTAGTTTAGCTTTGTTCACCCCAGTTTAGCTTTGTCCAGCCCAGTTTAGCCCAGTATAGCCCAGCCCAGCCTCTTTTAGCCCAATTAAGCCTAGTTTGGCCCAGTTCAGACCTCTCCAGAACAGTTTAGCCCAGTGCACACCAGTCCAGCCCACTTTATCTCACTTCAGACACTTCACACCAGTTCAGACACTTTACCCCAGCCCACTTTAGCCCTGTCCAGCCCATTCCAGCTCACCCCAGCCCCTTTAGCCCAGTTTAGCCCAGCACAGCCAACTTTAGCACAGTCCATCCCGCTTTAGCCCAGCCCAGCCCACTGTAGCCCAATTCAGCCCAGTTTAGCCCTATCCACACCAATTTAGCCCAGCCCAGCCCAGCCCTGTTCACAATTCAAGCCCAGTGCAGCCCAGCCCAGGCAGTTTTAGTCCAATTCAGCCCAGTCCAGCCCCATTTAGACAAGCTCAGATCTGTCCAGCCCAGTGAGGCCCAGTTCAGACCAGTTCAGCCACTCCAGTCTGCTTCAGCCCAGTTTAGCCCACATTGGCCCACTTCAGCCCACTTCAGCCCACTTCAGCCCAGTTTAGCCCACATTGGCCCACTTCAGCCCACTTCAGCCCAGTTTAGCTTTGTCCAGCCCAGTTTAGCCCAGTATAGCCCAGCCCAGCCTCGTCTAGCCCTGTCCAGCCCATTCCAGCCAACCTTAGCACAGTCCATTCCAGTTTAGCCCAGCCCAGCCCAGTTCTGCCCAATTCAGCCCAGTTTATCCCTGTCCAGCCCAATTTAGCCCAGCCCAGTTCTGCCCAGTTTAGCCCAATTCAGACCTGTCCACACCAATTTAGCACAGTTCAGCAGGGTTTAGCCCAGTGCAAACCTCTCCAGACCAGTTTAGCCCAGTACAGCCCTGCCCAGCCCAGCCAAGGACACTTCAGCCCAGTTTAGCCCAGTTGGCTCAGTCCAGCCCAGCCCAGTTTAGCCCACTTGAGGCCACTCCACTTAGCCCAGTCCAGACAAGTTGAGCCCAGTTCAGCTCATTTTAGACTGGTCCAGCCCAGTTCAGACCAATGGAGCCAAGGCCAGCCCCGTTTAGTCCAGCCCAGCCCACTTTAGTCCAGTCCAGCCCAGTTTAATCCCGCACAGCTCAGTTCAGCCCAATGGAGCCCAGTGCACACCAGTCCAGACCACTTTACCCTTCTAGCCCAGCCCAGCCCAGTTTAGCCCAGTGCACACCAGTCCAGACCACTTTATCTCACTTCAGACACTTCACACCAGTTCAGACACTTTACCCCAGCCCACTTTAGCCCTGTCCAGCCCATTCCAGCTCACCCCAGCCCCTTTAGCCCAGTTTAGCCCAGCACAGCCAACTTTAGCACAGTCCATCCCGCTTTAGCCCAGCCCAGCCCACTGTAGCCCAATTCAGCCCAGTTTAGCCCTATCCACACCAATTTAGCCCAGCCCAGCCCAGCCCTGTTCACTCAATTCAAGCCCAGTGCAGCCCAGCCCAGGCAATTTTAGTCCAATTCAGCCCAGTCCAGCCCCATTTAGACAAGCTCAGATCTGTCCAGCCCAGTGAGGCCCAGTTCAGACCAGTTCAGCCACTCCAGCCCGCTTCAGCCCAGTTTAGCCCACATTGGCCCACTTCAGCCCACTTCAGCCCAGTTTAGCTTTGTCCAGCCCAGTTTAGCTTTGTCCAGCCCAGTTTAGCCCAGTGTAGCCCAGCCCAGCCTCGTCTAGCCCTGTCCAGCCCATTCCAGCCAACTTTAGCACAGTCCATTCCAGTTTAGCCCAGCCCAGTCCAGTTTAGCCCAATTCAGACCTGTCCACACCAATTTAGCACAGTTCAGCAGGGTTTAGCCCAGTGCAAACCTCTCCAGACCAGTTTAGCCCAGTACAGCCCTGCCCAGCCCAGCCAAGCACAGTTCAGCCCAGGGTTTAGCCCAGTGCAAACCAGTCCAGCCCAGCCCAGTTTAGCCCACTTGAGGCCACTCCATTTAGCCCAGTCCAGACAAGTTCAGCCCAGTTTAGCCCATTTTGACTCAGTCCAGCCCAGTTCAGACCAGTTTAGCCCCAGCCCCGTTTAGTCCAGCCCAGCCCACTTTAGTCCAGTCCAGCCCAGTTTAATCCCGCACAGCTCAGTTCAGCCCAATGGAGCCCGGCCCAGTTTAGCTTAGTCCAGCCCAGCTCAGAGCAGTCCAGGCCATTTTACCCTTGCCCAGCCCAGCTTAGCCCAGCCCAGCCCAGTTTAGCCCAGTGCACACCAGTCCAGCCCACTTTATCTCACTTCAGACACTTCACACCAGTTCAGACACTTTACCCCAGCCCACTTTAGCCCTGTCCAGCCCATTCCAGCTCACCCCAGCCCCTTTAGCCCAGTTTAGCCCAGCACAGCCAACTTTAGCACAGTCCATCCCGCTTTAGCCCAGCCCAGCCCACTGTAGCCCAATTCAGCCCAGTTTAGCCCTATCCACACCAATTTAGCCCAGCCCAGCCCAGACCTGTTCACTCAAGCCCAGTGCAGCCCAGCCCAGGCAATTTTAGTCCAATTCAGCCCAGTCCAGCCCCATTTAGACAAGCTCAGATCTGTCCAGCCCAGTGAGGCCCAGTTCAGACCAGTTCAGCCACTCCAGCCCGCTTCAGCCCAGTTTAGCCCACACTGGCCCACTTCAGCCCACTTCAGCCCACTTCAGCCCAGTTTAGCCCACATTGGCCCACTTCAGCCCACTTCAGCCCACTTCAGCCCAGTTTAGCTTTGTTCAGCCCAGTTTAGCTTTGTCCAGCCCAGTTTAGCCCAGTATAGCCCAGCCCAGCCTCGTCTAGCCCTGTCCAGCCCATTCCAGCCAACTTTAGCACAGTCCATTCCAGTTTAGCCCAGCCCAGCCCAGTTCTGCCCAATTCAGCCCAGTTTAGCCCTGTCCAGTCCAATTTAGCCCAGCCCAGTTTAGCCCAATTCAGACCTGTCCACACCAATTTAGCACAGTTCAGCAGGGTTTAGCCCAGTGCAGACCTCTCCAGACCAGTTTAGCCCAGTACAGCCCTGTCCAGCCACCCGGTGCAGTCCTGGTGCTAGCTTTGACCGCCTGCCTCAGCTCCGAAAGGAAAGAACAGCAGAAGATGCAGAGAGCGCGAAGAGGAAGTTCTGCAGAGCGAGCCCAGAGGGCTGCGCAGAGAGGAAATGAGTCAGGCAGTTGCTAAGTTAAGGCAGTTGCCTATTTACAGAGGAATTACAAGAGTTAAAGGGGTGCCTTAGGAAATTCCTGGTCAGAATACGCTGAGCAGAGTGCAGATGGCATGGGGATGCACTTAGAATAAACGTGTCTGGATGAAACCACTGAGGTTTGCCCTGTGCGAGCAGAGATAACACAGTCAGCCACAGGCATTGATGGGACCTAGAAGCCAGAGGACAAACCCATTTCTACCCTCAGCAAACACTGGTGATGTGCTATAAAGCCAGCTCGGTCCAATAAGGCACAATCTTCCTTTTCTCCCTTTGTAGGCCAGTTGCGACCCCAGCCTGGAGGAACTTGTATTGGGAAGGGACAGGCATGGCTCATCTTTCTGGCTTGTGAAATGGGGAGTGATGGGAGAGTGGTGCACACCATCTGCATGAGAGGTGCACCAGCATCACCAGCATCTTCAAGGCAAGATGTTCCAACCTGCCTGGCTCTACCTCTGCATGGCTGTTCCTCATTCTCACCAGGTATATGTGGTTAACTAGCTGGAATGGAGAGAAAACAAAAGCTCTTCCTCCCACTCGCATCTCCTGCCTATAATTAATGGTCAAAACACATTTCTCTCTGGTAAGCAAGAGACTAAGTAAAAAGACTCATAATATTGCTCAGTAATAGAATAAAATCTAGTAATAAATCGCAGGCTGTAAGATGTTACAGAGCAGGGCTGCCTCTCAGCAGCTCAGGCTGATGTGACAGTGCATACTCCTGCTGTGGTTTGGGTACCACAGGTCTAGTGTAAGCAGAGGGAGGAACTTATATCCGCTCAGGTAACAATCACATCCTAGTATGAGCTGCAAAGCTTTTACAGGGTTTTGGTTCATGGTGAGTGAAAATGTTACTATTGCTTTAAGACATCCCCCAGTCACAGGGAATGAGAAAAGCAGGGATGACGTGACACTGAATTCAGGCTGTGGAAAACATCTTGGCTATGACACTTCTTTCTGTGTCATCTGGGCTTCCCTAGCAGAACAGTTCACACAGCTCAGGCAGCTGGATGGATGCAGTGGCTGCGGAGGAGATCCTGGCGCTGATGGGCTGCTCTCTTCCACATCTGCAGCCGTATGGCCAGGAGTTGTGATGGAACAAGATTTCTTCCTACTGCTTTTGTCTGCTTTTGGCCTGTGCTGACGGTCTGAAATAGCCTGTGATCACTGAACCGCCCAGGTTTGGTGCCTCTCAGGGTAACCACATCATAAACCATGCAGAAATCCTCGAGTTATGGAGGTTTCCAGCCTTTAAGGAACTTCTCCATGGGGGTGAGGGTTTTCCGCCATCCACATGCATTGAGGGAAGCTCAATAGCCACGTTGAACAGGGTTTGGAGCAAGCTGCTCTAGTGGAAGGTGTCCCTGCCTGTGGCAGGGGGTGGAGCTGGAGGAGCTTTAAGGTCCCTTCCAATCCAAACGACTCTGTGATTCTTTGATAAGCTGTAAATGCAGGAGACTTTATGAATGCCAGCAGGAGCCCTGTTTGGGAATACCACTGATTTAATGCCCTTTTGCAGGGTGGAGGGAGCAGACTGGACAGAAAGGGCAGAAGGGAAACCCCCATGGCACGTGGGGAGGAACAGGCAGAGAGTGGGTCCAGGGCATGTTTCCAACGCAAATGGTCCAATGCATTGGGATCCTTTATCTTGAAACCACAACCACCAGGCAGGGTAAAGTCAGAGAAGACTCAGACCTCAGTAACTTGAAGAGAGCTCCTTCTACAGGCTGTTATGGACATCCCCATCTTTCCAAAGTCCTCCTGCCTGGACATGGGTGTTCAGCTCAGATGAGAACCATTGCTCCATCCTGCTTATGTGAATATCCCAAAGATAGGAAGGGGGCATCTCCAGTGTAACCTGGCACAGATTAAAGGCACAGGGCCTGGTTTGTGGTTTTGGTGTTCTTGTGCAAGACAGGCTCTGTCTCAGTGGCACAAACGATTTTAAAGGTGACTTTAAGAGATGCCTGAGCCAGGTTTATGGTTTGTACTTCTCTTTGAGAAGGGGTTCCTGCCTTGTGGAGGAACGAGTGAAAATGATCAACCACTGGACAGTGTTGTGTTTGTCTGGTTTCCTTCCTGCACTGTACGTGTAGCCAGGACCTAGTCAGGACCATAAGAAGGAGCTGAAGAAGTGGAGGACTGAGCGATGCTGCAGATCAGCTCTCCTGTTCTGCAGATGGATTACAGAGCATTGCGAGCCGGGCTCCAGTCGCGGGCTCATACATTAAGCACTTGTGTACCTGACAGGGATGCAATCCGGCTCTCCCTTCAGCTTGGCACACGGTACCTCCTCCAGGGCAGCCTGGCCGGGCTCGGGGCTCCCACTGCTGCAAAGCCAAGGCGATGAGCTTGGATCACCCTCGGTTCAGCAAAATTCCCTCCCTGCTCCTTGCGATTTTCCTCCTTCTTTTTAACGCTGCTTTTGAACAAAACAAGCAGCTTTCTGCCCTTTTGATGCTGCTTTTACTCTGGCTTCAACGACAGCGTTTGCCTTGCAGGTCCATCTGCGCTACTTGTGTGAGGCAACAGTGACATCCAGTGGTCCCCGTGGTCTGCAAACACCTGCAGCATCGCTCTGTTTCATGCCGTGCGATGAGCAAACGGTCTCCACTGGTACCACAGGATACTTTTCACTTCTTTAACAGAGTCGTTACATGGGGTTCTTCAGTGTAATTAAGCCCTTGCATGCTTTGTCCTGGCTGGAACATGGTTACACCTTTGACAAAGGAAGGATAAGGACTTGTGCAGAATAAGATATAAATGGAATTCCATGAGAAATAATCCCTCTTACGTATCATAAATACCTTAAAAAAGCTGTATTGGTGACTTACCTGCACAACTGCTATGGGATGCGGCTGTAAGCCCTTCTGCTATTGTATGTTTTTGCTGTGCTCACCTAGTAGGAGGCTGAACCCTTACTCTAATGACCTGCTCTTTGTGCTTCTCAAGCCAAAGTTTAAAGTCACTCAGTTCTGCAGGTAAAAAGTATCTTGGGATGTATTTAACCAAGTTTTGTGGCAAAAAAGGACCACCACACCTTCTTATCTCCTAGTAAGTACATGCCTGGGATGGAGATTCCAGTGGGGAAAACTGAAGAAGCTAGGGAAAGGAGGGAATAGTCCCTCCATCCCGCTCCCCAGGCCAAGCTGTGTGTGTGTGTCCAGGAGCATCCCCTTCTCCTGGGAGGTGGGGAAGCACTAAAGGCAAAGATAGCTTCATCAAGGGCAGCTAAATGCACCCAAGCACTTCACATGGAGATGACTGCAGTGACAGAGGTGAGGGGATTTGATCAGGGTCCCTGTCAGAGGTTCACATCAGCCTTTTGGATACGCCTGGGGCTTCCGATCCACCATGTGCTCCAGTGTGGTAAATCAGCTTGTGCAGAGCAGCTCTTGCAGAGCAGACCAGGTGTCCTTAACAGCACCACGTTGTGGAGGCAAGCTGGGTTTAACCAGGTCATTTGAGAAGCTGTCTTTTCATTTCACACACCTTTTGCTACAAATCTATCTCTCCATCATTTGAACTCCCACCACAGCCACTCAGCTTGCCTTCCATTTCCTCTTCCATTGCTTAAACATCCCACAAGGTGAGTCTAACACCACATTAACCACTCAAGCCATAAAGGACCTGTTCCAAAGCCTCCTAACACCAAATCACCTTCGAGGCAATTTCCCCAATCCATAATTCCAGAGGATTAGGAGGCGACAGCACTAATAAAAGCAGTTCTGAGGTTGACATTGCAATCTGTGTCCGTCTCCCTGCTGCAGTCACTCTGGGGCCATTAAACCAAGGAGTGGAGTGTAGGTGTGTAGCATGGAAGCAGCACTTTCCATCCCAGCAATTCCGGGTTGCGGAATCAGGATCACTGCAGAACAGATGTCCAGATAAAGCTTTTACAGCTGTGTCTTTTGTGGTCATGGAGGAAAAACGAAGGGCTGCTGAAGAGCAATAGCAGCATCTCAGCAAAGGCAGGGTGATGAGCTGGGGGCAAGCAGATAACAACTGGGGCAATCTTGGAGTATTGTGTGCAGTTCTGGTGTCCTCAACATAAAAAGGACATGGAACTGTTGGAACAAGTCCAGAGGAGGCCACGGGGATGATCAGGGACTGGAGCACCTCCCGTATGAAGACAGGGTGAGAAAGTTGGGGCTGTTCAGCCTGGAGAAGAGAAGCTGCGTGGAGACCTCATAGCAGCCTTCCAGTATCTGAAGGGGGGCTATAGGGATGCTGGGGAGGGACTCTTCATTAGGGACTGTAGTGACAGGACAAGGGGTAATGGGTTAAAACAGGGGAAGTTTAGATTGGATATAAGGAAGAAGTTCTTTACTGTGAGGGTGGTGAGGCACTGGAATGGGTTGCCCAGGGAGGTTGTGAATGCCCCATCCCTGGCAGTGTTCAAGGCCAGGTTGGACAGAGCCTTGGGTGCCATGGTTTAGTGTGAGGTGTCCCTGCCCATGGCAGGGGGGCTGGAACTGGATGATCTTAAGGGCCTTTCCAACCCTAACTATTCTGTGATTCTATGATCTTTTCCCCAATGATAGACATCAAAAGCCTGTGCCCAGGGAACGCTGCCAGGATAAGTTAATCTGACAGAATGAAACACGTCTCATTCGAAGGCCCGAGTAAATAGGATGCTGTGGTTGTATTCTGTAAGTTAGAATCATAGAATGGTATTTCTTGAACACCCCTCAACACCATAAAGATTTTCCCAAGGTTTCTAACTGCAAGATTCACTAAATCATGGTCGAAAAAAAAGATTTTCTCCTCTCTTTGAAAGAAGAAAGGAGTGAAAAGACCCAATTCTGTATCAAAACCGGTCTGTAACCTAGGAGTTTGTATGGGCTAGCTGCCGCCTGCCTCCGAGAGTACACGTGATATTTACATACTTCAGGGTATTCTGTCATTGAAGGAGGTCTTGGGAGGGTGACAAGAAGGCTTCGTAGAACCTGTGAGCAGCTGTGAAAGGCACCAGGAGCTGAATCTGTGGGCTTGGTTTCAGAAGGAAAATGGCTGGTTGAGAAACATCCCGAAGAGTCAGCCACCCCCGTGCTTCCTCCCAGGAATCGAAGATTCCCAGCTCATGGGCTTTGAGATGTAATTACAGTATGAGGAGGTTTGGGAGAGCTGAAAAGTCACCATAGCAACCTCTTGGCAAAAACACTTTGCATATCCAAAGTAAAGCAGAGTGCGTGGCCCTGGTGAGTCTGGATGTGTTCTGCCTTCGTCTGCTGCTCCTCACTGCACACTTTAACCACTGTTTTCCTGCTCTGCATCCTAAGTGTCCCCGTCCCCTCCCCCAGAACTTCCCAGGAAGGATTTGACCACAGATAGATGCAGCATGCTGGTTATTAGAGCAGGCTCTGCCTGTGGCTTAGTGTTAAAGAGGAGATGCCCTCATGTGGCGCTCCAGCCCCTTTGCCATCACCTCTAGCGAAGCACAACCAACTTGTGCTGAACATCTGCAAACCCCAAACTGAACTGAAAACCTGAGAAACAGAGAGATGAAGATGGAGGAAGGGGATAGCTAAAACCTTCTCAGCTGCACTGGGGTTGCAGCAAAAGCTCTTTCCATAGCATGATGCCATGATACCGGTTTAATGGGTAACAAAAAGATGACTTCTAAAGCACCCACCCTTGAACAAAAGCCCTGTTTAGTCCCATGCTTGAAGAAATGCTCTTCATGCAAGAGTTTATGTGAATACCAGAACCTGTGCAGCATGGATTTGATGAGGGAGTGCATGCCTAGTGATCCCATGAATAGGATCTCCCCATAAGAGAGCAAAACCTGCTGGCTGAGGCTGGTACATGGCAGGAGAGTGCTTGGCTGGGAGAGGGTCTGTGCTGGAGCAGAGGGTCTGGAGGAGCCAAGTGAACCACAGTGTTTAGCAGCCATGGGGGGGGCCTTTTCCAGTCTCTTTCCAGTCCCTCTTATGTCCCTAACAAGATCCAGGGAGGGAGCAGAACTGCAAGATCACACTCTTTTTGAACCTGGCAATGAGATTAGTATCTTGCAGGAGGGAAGAAAGATCCTGGTTGATGCTAGAGTGCTGTCTGTTACAAATAGAGGCTATTTGGGGGAAAATTACAACTGGTATTCATTAGTGCAGTCACTTTTGAATCAGAAACAAGAAGAACTGTTCAGTTCTGTTGTTTCTTTCTAATTTGTGTTTTATGATGCCCCACGTTGTGGACTTTGCTCTGGACAAAACTTATTACAGCCCTGTGACGTACCGCAGGCTGGGAGCATAATGATTTGCTCCTTAAATGTTACTCCAAAGTCAGCAAATCATTGCTGGAGTAATAAAGGAGAAGGCTGGGAGAAGAGATTTGTTGGCACAACAGCTTTTCCAGGACCTAGGAAATGCGATTTCAGAACAGAAATCACTAGTTCTTCATCGCCTGACCCACTGGAAACATCCCAACATCCCATCTGATCTCTTCCTATTTCTCTTTGCTGGTCTTTTGGCATCTGGCAGAAGAAACGGGACAAGCACTCAGCAGAAATCCGCCTTGATCTTGCTACACAGGGAGGTGAGTTTTTGAGCAGCACCTTTTATTGCTGATGGTGTTTTGACAGTATGAATCACCTGGAATACGGAAGAATTCCTGGTTAGGTACCACAGGCTTGGGAGCACAATGATTCGTTCCTTAAGTGTTACTGCCAAAGTCAGCAAATCAGTGCTGGAGTAAGAAAGGTGAAGGTCGTGAGAAGAGATTTGCTGGCCCAGCACTAAATGGAAAACTGGGTGATGCTTCCTAATGCTGTGAGTTTTGCAAAGAGCCGTTTTAAAGGGAATTTGGGTGAGTTGTTATTAGCTCAGGTGCTTTTATAGTTTTCTAACGTTTATCTCGTTCATAGTCTGGGACAACTTCTATTTTGGCAGTGCTCAGGGAGTAGTAACCCTTAGTGGGTTAACCCTTTGTTGTTACTTAAGGGAGCCCCAGGGGAGGGCTGCATCTGATGCGAAGCCAAGCAAATCCATCAAACAGAGCTTGGCCAACTCAGACTATCTGAGGATCTAGTGCTTTCTTTACAGCCCTTTTATGTACCTCATCAGAGGCTGAAGATTTAACCCAGTGTGGTCCTAAACCAAGAATAAGCCCTTGCCTTTGATGCCTGCTGAAGCCAATAGAGAAAGCAGAGCACACAGGGGAGCGTGCAGGGCTCTAGGGGTGAGTTTGGGGCTGCCTGTGCACTCGGTGGCTCTGGTTTAAATGCAGTCATCTTTAAAGCACCTTCAATCAAACTGAAGCACAAACTCATTCCAGTTTAGAGTGGCATATTTGCATTTTGCTTGTAGTGTTCAGTGGGTGCTTTGCCCTGGAACCAGCCCTTCCCCAGTGTGATCCAGGGCTCAATTAAACTGATGGAAGTTTGTAGATAAAGCCCAGCTGGGAGAATCACACAATCCCAGCCTGGTTTGGGTAGGAAGGGACCTTAAAGCTCCTCCAGCTCCAACCCCTGCCACGGGCAGGGACACCTTCCACTAGAGCAGCTTGCTCCAAGCCCCTGTGTCCAACCTGGCCTTGAACACTGCCAGGGATGGGGCAGCCACAGCTTAACCTCACTGCTAGGGCTTTCCTTTTGTGTTTTCCCCACACCTGTAGGAACCTCAGCACTTCACACACGGACGCCTTTCCTTAAAGCAGGTGGAAAGCTGCTAACAGCTTTTCCAAGCTGGGATAGATGAAGAGTGTACATGCACCGTGTAGCTGCATGAACCTCACCTCTTTCAGAAGGCAACAGAGAGCAGAGGGTTTGCATAGCCTTGTCTGACCTTTCCAGAGGCTCCTCATCCAGTGACTCAGCTTGGGCACGGCGAGTGAGGGCTGCTGGCTCCTGGCCTGTGTGTTTCAGATTGCAGGAGCAGGTTGAACTTCTCAGCCAAGCGTGTGCTAAGGGAGTGCTCACCAACATCCTTCTTTCAGAACATGCCTGAAGAATGAAGAGGTTCACATGTAGCCCCGGACTGCACTCTTCTGCCAAGGCTCTTTGCATCTTGATGGCTGCTGCTCACGTTGTCCTCCTGGCAGGTACAGTGATCCCCCTCAGGATTAATCACAGGGATGTGTATCTATACACGAGCCCACTGCCCCCTTGTTCTGCCCCAGTGCAGCAGTTAGTCTTGATCTGGACCTCTCCCTTCTCACTGCAACTGCTACTGGGGTCCTTGTCCATGCCTAGGCGTATGTTGGCCTGCAGACCTACCACGATGCACACCCTGAGATGCTGGTTCAGTCTGGGCTGCAGATCATAGAATCACAGAATAGTCAGGGTTGGAAAGGACCTTAAGATCATCCAGCTCCAACCCCCTGCCATGGGCAGGGACACCTCACACTAAACCATGGCACCCAAGGCTCTGTCCAGCCTGGCCTTGTGCGCTGCCAGGGATGGAGCATTCACAACCTCCCTGGGCAACCCATTCCAGTGCCTCACCACCCTCACAGGAAAGAATTCTCTCCTTATATCCAATCTAAACTTCCCCTGTTTCAGTTTTAACCCATTACCCCTTGTCCTGTCACTACAGTCCCTAATGAAGAGTCCATCCCCAGCATCCCTATAGCCCCCCTTCAGATACTGGAAGGCTGCTATGACGTCTCCATGCAGTTGAGTCAGTAGGGATGAGAAAACATGGCAACAAGTGAAATGTCAGGTTTTGGCTGCATTGCAGATGGTGTCCCATGTTTGGAGGTGAAAACCTCTTGGCTTTGTCATTATTCCCTTCTTTCCTTCCTGGGTGTCCTCCTGCATTTCTGTTTGGTTTCTTCTAGTTAGACTTCGGTCGCTGTAGAATAAGAGCTGTGCATTTACCCTTTTCGTGGTGTTCTAGGGAAAGCACAGAGCTACTGTCAGAGCCAAGTTCCCCAGTCGCAACCCAGGCCCTGGGGCAAGCACAATAAACTGGGCTTCATGAACACGCTCATCACCCTTTCGCTCCTCCATAAATCCCAGCAAAACACTCATGAGTTTTGTATTTCATTCTTGGACTTCTCCTCTAGAGCAATGCAGGGCACAGAGATAATTCGTGCTTCTAAAACGCACCCTGCAGCACTGGAGCCACTTCCAGCACAAACTGAGGAAAGATGAGCTCTTTCCAAGCACAACCTCCACACTAAAAGACTGAATTCATGTCCAGGTCTTGCCAAATGTTCCCACTTTCTCTAGCTTTGGCCAAAGGCTTCTAATCTGTGTGCTGTAAGACCCCTGCAATGGGGGTCTCTCAGTGTGTCTCTGCTGGGGTCAGTCATGGAATGGGTGCCAGTTTTGCCAGTTGTAAATCCCACAGGCATTCCCATCTCTTGGAGAAATCCATGGGAACTGGCTTCTTACCCTTTGGGGCCCTGTAGGAAAGTACAGATGAAGACGGCTGTTGCGTTTTGTTGTGCTGTAATGAATTACTCACTGGTGGAGCTACACCCACCTCCCTGCATCCCCAAAGCTCCACCATGGACCTTCTCCTGCAATACCCAGCACTGGCCCTGTGATTTCATGCACTCCCACTAAGGCAGAGGTGCTAAACACCCCTGGGCCTCCATGGAATGGATGTTCTGAGTCCTACGTACTCCCACTCGAGGGGAAAATGATTCTCTTAGGTGCAAACCACCATCTTAGCACCGAGTTGCAGCGGTGGAAGCCAGACCAGGATGGGGGTGCCTGTTCCACAGCAGTGGAGCTGATTTTAGAGCTGAGACAGACGTGAACCATGGCAGAGTGTTCTGTGCAATAGAAATGTCCTCCTCCCACTTTGAGCGCACGAGGTTACACCAGGACAGCAAAGCACTGCCTCTGATCACCTACAGAGAATTAGACTCTGTGAATAAATCATTTCCTTTTGCCTCCAATTTGAAGTGTGTGAAGCAGCTGGGGAGAAGCACCAGCTACTTTTGCAGTCCAGGAGGTGTATAACCCTTAGTAGAAGTAGAGATTTATTGCTAGGTTATACTGGAGGGGGGGGTTAGAATACCTGATGTGCATGGCTGGCAGGTAGGTCTGCAAAGGAACATACAGTAGGAAGCCCTTAATATGCTTATAAAAGACTCAACCTAATGGCAATTCTTATCTAGGAGAAATACACCCTGACTTAGTGAAGCACATGTGAGTGTAATGACACAAGATGCAGCTCACCTGAATAGGAGGGGCCTGGCTTACAATATAAGGCTGATCAATGACTGCTGGGCTGTTGAATGTGGAGCTGCTTCACCCCCTGCAGAGGAAAGGTTGGATCCTGCCTTTGGTGCCTGTGTTCCTGTCTCAGTATGTTGCCTATGAATTGGTGCTGCTATATGCATGTGCACAGAGATTCCTGCCTGGGGAAGGGACTTGGCTGTGGCTGGTGGTGACCTCAGTGGGACTCTTCATCAGGGGCTGTAGGAATAGGGCAAGGGGTGATGGGCTGAAGCTGAAACAGGGAAGTTTAGATTGGATACAAGGAAAAAGTTCTTTACTGTGAGGGTGGTGAGGCACTGGAATGGGTTGCCCAGGGAGGTTGTGAATGCTCCATCCCTGGTGGTGTTCAAGGCCAGGTTGGGCAGAGCCTTGGGTGCCATGGTTTAGTGTGAGGTGTCCCTGCCCATGGCAGGGGTTTGGAACTGGGTGATCTTAAGGTCCTTTCTAACCTGAACTATACTATGATTCACTGAGTAGGAGACCATGGCAAACCCAAGGATCAGAGTAGAGATACACGTAGCATTGCACTGTGCTGCCTCCTGTTCCCATATACAACAGATACTGAACACGGAGTGCAAAACCAGGTAAATGGAGTGAAAAACCCTTCACAGCTTGCTGGTGCCTCTGCCAAGCTGCTCAGGGACTGAGGTTGGCTGAAGTAGAGCCATTGCAGCTACTACTCTGCAGCCAGAGTGGGGGCTACCTGTGGGCAAGTTACTCACTGCCTGTGTAGGTCTGTGGTTAGTATTACTCAGAGAAGTTGCCTCTGTCAGCAAAGCCTTTTGAGTAGGATGTAAAGCTATAATGAGGTTATATTTAAAGTAATGAAGAAGAAAGATGCCCAAATGAATGCTCTGCAGCCTGAGAAAAGAACAGTCCTTATGGCTGGCTTTTAGCAGAAACCTTGACTTCACACCTCACCTGGGAGCAAAGCTCTTTATCAAGAGGGTGCTGAACCCAGACCTTTGCACTTGACACCCATACTGGACCATATGTATTGATGGATTCTGTATTGATTCCTGTTTGGCACATCTTGAGCACTTCAGCTGTTCCTTTGCAGAATTAAACTCCTCTTTCCTGGTAGTGTGGGTGGGCTCAGAATTCAATTTCAAAGGCAGCAGAAACTAGAAATAGAAGAAACTTTAACTTTTTTTACCCATAACTCAAGGAGGTACCCGCATGAGGTCCTACTGCAGCTTTTCCTTTGGAAGTGACATTTCCCTTCTTTACCCTCTTTCCTAATGCCATTTCCTTACAGAAGCACATTACCTGCATGGAGAAAGACTGGATTTATTGGGAAGGAATGATAAGTTTGTGTCTCTGGTGAACTTCAGCATCCCTCAGCTGTGCCAATTCACAGCATGCATTGACCTAAAGCGGACTGCCAACGTCAGCTCTTGGGCAGCCTTTTCCTATGACGCTAACAACTCCTCCTTGGACATCAATGATTTAGAGCTTGGGCTCTCTGGAGAAAACAAGCAATTGAGGCTCTATCTTTTTGGCACCAGAAGGGACATTGAGATTGACCTGGCCCTTTTTGTGTGGTACAGCGTGTGCTGCTCGTGGGACCCCAGGAAACAACTGCTGGAGGTCTACTGCGACGGTGAGCTCGTGCATAGCGAAACCATTGGCAGCGCTGGGTGCTTGAAACCCAACGGGAGCCTGGTGCTGGGTCATCTGCACAAGAGAAAGGATGGCTTCATTGTGCGGGTGAGCAACAGCTTCATTGGCAGCTTGTACTACTTCCAAATGTGGGACCGTGTGCTGGGGCAGGAAGAGCTGCTGGACTGCGCCATGGGCAACACGGTCAGCTGGGAGGAAGAGTATTGGGACTTCAGCAGCATCCTGCCCGTTGCGGACCATCGCCTGCGCTGTGGTGAGTGTCTGCAGTGTTTTGTCTTGCTGGGGATCACACACAGAGAGTAGGGAACCCTCCACTGCTAAGGACAATAGCCTCTGAGTCGCTGCTGCTGTGATTGAGACCAGGAGCAGGCAGTTGTAGCCATGCTTACAGCATTGCCTGCCCACCCCAAACAGCAGATAGAGAAGCTGTGGGTGAGGGAACACTGGTTTGGGTTATCTCATCATTCAATCCTGATGTCTGTATGTACTACATGGTATTTAAACCACAAAGGATGAAAACAGAGGCCTGAGATTGACAAACCGATTGATTTTATGTAAAACTATTGACATGCCATGATATTCAGTGTTGCACAATAAGAGTGAATGCATATTTATTTATTGTCTGTAAGCTGATGGCTCCTCAGGGAGATTGGAGGCACAGTATGAAATCATTGCTCATTTCTGGTGTCCAGTGTGAGAATTCTAAGCATGTCTCCATCCAGGAGCATGACTCCATCCAGGGCAGCACCCCCTGACTTCACCACAGTTCCCACTGCACTTTCCCATCTCCTGCTCCAGGTTTCATGGAACCGGGGCCCAAAGCTATGAGAAATCCCTGCCTGCTGCTGAATCCTGTGCTGGGAGGGATTTCCCCCCACTCCCTCATTGCACACGCACTTGCTCTGCACCAAAGAACACGGGCACTCACAACTATTGCTGTAAATGACAACCTGCCCATCTGTTTCTTAGCTTCCTGCCCCATTGCCTTTACCCAGGCATTCTTCTTCCTGCACTGCCTATTGTAGGTGCTATTCCCCCACTTGTGTCCCTGAATTCAGGCAGGATATGATCTGATGAGGAGGGAGGAGGAAGCCTCAGTTTCCCTTTTCCAATTAACACCTTTGCCCTTGGGCCATTCTCTCTGTGGGAAAGGCCTGTGCTTGTCTTGGCAGGGAGCTGGGAGAGGCTTAGTCATGCTTGCTGATGAACAGTTTAGCACCTAAAGCCTCCGCTCAGTGCTCCTGGACTTTGATTTTTTTCAAGCCCAATAACCTGAATCTGAGCAACTTTCTAGTGAGACAAAGCACGTTAGAGAGAGGCTTCCTAAGGGCAAAGCATTTTCAAAGCACTTTTCCCCTCTAAAAGCCATCCCCAAGAACCGAGTGACTTCCTTTCGTTAGGATCCTCCAGTGCAGCCTGAATTGGACATTCACTCTGGAAAATGCTGGCCCTTCTTCTCCTCAAGGAGAAACACAGCATGTCTCACAAGTGGTGAACTACACCAGCATGCTCACAGGTTACTCTTGCTCACAGTGCTATGAACTGCTGGATCCACAGTGTTCCACACAGTGGGAAGGGTTACTGGAGTCGGATATTTTCCCAGGAGCAATAACTAAGATGACTGTTCTGAAGTCCTGGTTATAGACATAAAACTTAATCATGTTTGGGAATCTGTCACGGGTCAGATCTTGGCAAGACCTTTGCTTCCACTATAAATCTACTCCTTATTTTAATTAACTCAAATTCATAAGCTAACTACTGCACACTGATGATACATGTGGTAGGGATAACAGTGAGTGATGTAAATACACACTGAGATTGATGTCCTGCCTGTCAGATAAGGGAAGCTGCACTCGGCTGCAGTTCATGTGATCCCATATGGACAATCCGTATCTATTGAGTTTGCATGTAAGAAATAGCTGTGCCCAAGTGTTGCTCTGAAACGAAATGCCCTGGGGAAGTGCCATTTCACTGCTCATGTCATGTTAGTGATGCCCTACAACCATTACTAGCTGCGAGGTTTGCTTGTAGTGCTTATAGATGTTGTTTAGAGAGCTGTGCATTGCTTGGTTCACCTTGATAGTTTAGGCAGTGGTGCTGGGAAGGGGGGGAACCTGCTTTGGTTTGGAAAGGCAGGACTCATTTAGGCAAAGTGAGGGAAACTTCTTGCATGAAAGCAGCAGGAAGCATCCTTACAGAGGTCTGTGGACCTTTTATAAGCAATACAGTTATCACAGCGACTGCACTGGCTCTGCTTGAGAGCAGGAGTAAAGGTCTTGTCCTGCCTTTGCTTTTCCCCCCAGAGCTCTTGAAGATGATCCTTTACGTTTGCAGCTCAGCTGGGCCTTTGCTAAAAGCGAAGTGTGTGTTCTCATCCTCTCACTGACTCACAGTCTTCAGCTCTTCCTCCCCCTGCCTCACCCACACACTGATTCCTGATTTTCTTCTTAATTTGAAGTAATCTGCGAGAGGGATGAATCTAAAATACCTGAACATGAGTGCTTACGATGGAGAAAGCTATTTATTATTACAGCTCTCTTACTGGCTGGCCTAATTTTTGCTGCTCTTTGATTGGAAACATACATATTTATGTACCCTTACAGGGTGCCAAAGAACCCATTTATTAAGTTACCAAATCAAAACCCATGCGTAGGGCTTGAGAAATGTCAGCAGCCCAGTATTTCTGGTGCTTCAGACCCCATCTGTCATCACGCCTTAGCCCTTGTTTCGTGAATGGAATTACCATGCATGTTAATGGAAGCAAATGAAGTTGCAGGTGGCTGGTCCCACACCTGCCTGCTGGGAATGAGCTTTGAATTAACAGAGATTTGGGGTTTTTTTCTTCAGGTGATAATAGGGAAAAGAAGGAAATGAGAATCTGTGGAGCTGTCCTTGTGCTTTGTTTGTTGGGACAGGAGCACAGCACTCAGTGGGGTACATTCCCTTTAGAATGAGCCTGGGCTTTGGTTTTGGGCAGTTCTCTATGTTATGTTATCTTCTGCTTCATCCTGGGTGATACCAGACATCACCCCTGAGGCCATGGGTTCTGAAGCATTACACTGATAACAGGAGCAGGGTGGAGCCTGTAATCACCCAGCTCCATGCAGATTCCTCTTATCAGGAGAGGATCTGCAGCACTGACACAGCCAGAAGAACAAGTTCAGCCTTGGCTGTACAAACAGCTTGGTTTATGGCTTGAGAAACCCCAGCCTAATATGATATCTGTGTTTCTGTAAGGAAAGAAGAAAGGATTTATTCCAGTGATAGGGCGTGCGGGCCTCCCGTGTTCCCATCACACTCCCTCTATGACAGCAGCTCTTAAATAAAGCCAATAACAAGACACTCATTTTCCATCAGCTTGAAACCAGGGGTTAATTATTTGTAGCATTACACTGGAGCTCACAGAACCCATTTCTGCAGCTTCACACCACAGGAAGGCACACAAGTTTCCACTGCAGGTTTGAACTGTGGGATTAGAGTCACTGGGGATGCTGGGGTTTGCTCTTTGTGTTCTCATGGCAGTATGTGTTGTGAGGATGAGGAGGACTTGGAGGAAAACCACATCCCTTTCGTTTCAGGTCCTTAGAGGAGTTCTTTTCCTTTGCTTCTAGGGTTTTGCTTGTAGTTAAGTAGATACTTCTGGCTCCTTGTTCTCTGCGTATTCATGTGTACGTCAAGCAGTGTTAGTGGCTGTTGGTAGGAGGTCTGTGTATTGAGGATCTAGGTCTACCTTGCAGCTCGATGCTCTAACCCTGTGGATCTCTCCCAGATACAGAACCAGCAAATACCTCTTATATCAGGTCCTGTTTCTGACCTATTGCAGGCAATGGCTTTTAAATGGCAGTGTGGCAGCTTGCTCCTGGGCTTGCCAGGGTTTTAGTTAAGAGTAAAGCAGAGTAAATCAGTCCTCTTTATTTCCCCAGCAGTTCAGTACTGTCACAGAAGCAAAAGGCCTGAGTAAAGAGGTGTCCAAATGAAAATCTCAGCTTCATCAAGCAGCATGGGCAAAGCAGGCTGCCTGGTTCCACAGCTCTCTGTACACCCTGGGAGCAGCAGGGGCTGTGCTGCACAGGGCACCGCTCTGCAGAAGCAGGTTGCAGAGCAGTCTGATCCTTGGAACATCCTTCTTGCTCCCCATCCCACTGCCGCCAGTGTGAGGAGCAGAGCAGCTCCCACAAGCTCCGAGTGTGCTACCTCTGCTAAGGATGCTATGATGGGGCTGAAGCTGCTGTTTAACCACAGACTGGCACCATTGAGGAGCACTGGGAGGCTGAAGACTCTTGAGCTTTGTCTGCAAGAGGCAACTCAGAGCTGGACTTCAATGGCTTTTTTGCCTTCAGCTCTCCTTTCTGCTTTACAAAAGAATTTGAAGCTATTTAGGATCAAACCAGGAGGCTTCAAGTTGTTGATAGCCCCTGTATCTGTTATGTCCATGGATGTATTGTCATGGATTTGAATGGGTCAGAGTATGTCTGACCCATTCAAATGGATGGCCATTGATTTGAATGGTCTGTTACATTTTAAGCACCCTGATTCTCCTTCCCTTGAGCTCCTGTAGAGAAAACAATGTTTTCTGAAGGACAGCCTTACCCTACTGATTTCCAACCACACTCTTTATTCACAGGCATCTGGCTTTGTGTTCGTGTGTTAAGTTTATTCCTCTTAGTCAGACCTAGAATGTCAAGTCTCAGTCATTTGAGTGAAGAGAAAACCACAAAGCACCAGCACAGGAAGAAAACAGTACCTGTAGAGCAAACTGTGGTGATCCTGCTGATCTTCCAACACCAAGGCTTGTAAGGTTAGCTGGTGATTTGGTTCCCTGCTGTTTGCTGTAGTCCCTGTGACAAACATGACCCGTTTTGTCCCCGTCTGCCTGGTGAGGTGGCAGATTGCATGTGAAATGTGAAAGCCCTATCTGGTTTGACAGGGTGATTCACTTCGAGGAAATCAGCCACAAATGAGTTCTTGGAATCCTTTCCTTGGAAAACAACAGGCAGGATGGCTGGTGTCTATAATGGGGACCCTTATGCCAGGTTAGCATTAAACCAGACACCATGAATATCACTGTTCATCTCGCATTGCATTACTGCATGTTAACTGTTAGCACTCGGCGCTTGACAAGCTCCTTTCTTGGAGGTTACACAAGCAAGAAGGGAACAGAGAGATAATGGCTCTTCAACGCAAGCAGTGAATTGGATAATGGTGCATGAGCTCTGGTCTTCCTTGTGATCTCAACTCTGCCAATCCTGTTTTCTCCCTTGTTATGCTGTAGTTATCTCTGGACACATAAAAAACTCCACGTGTAGGTGTGCTTCCCCCCACTGCTTTCACCCCACAGAGGTCTGTGGAACAACAGCAGCTCTTTGCTATGATGACCTCTGCTGAAGGACTCATGCTTCTCTTAAGTGGGCTCTGCTCTTCCTTACCCCTTTGCCACTATGGATTCTTAGGCCTTTTAATGTCCTTTTCAGCAGGCTCAAGTGAAGCATCATCCACAAGGGCTCCTACGCTGCCCCCGTTGCCTCCGACCGGTAGTGCCAATGGTACCGTTCCAGGTAAGCACTAAATGAGGCCCTTTTAAATGCTGACATGCTCACCACTGACACCACAGCTGTGACAATTCAAGACTCAGTCACATGTTTAAGCCATTGCTGTTTAGCAAGGTATTGCCTGGCAGCAGATCCTCCTATCTCTTCCTATGCATTCCTTGCAGGCAGTAAAAGCCAACCCGGTGTACCCACAAGTATAACCCCCACCTTGTTTGCTAAGCTGTCATAACTCGGCCCTTGGGCTCGCTAATAACGTTTCTAGCAATGCAGCAGTCATCTAGACTTGGACACTGGGATTTCCCAAAGAGCCCCAGTGACCATGGGAATGGTTCAATGGAGGGGTGAGGAGACGGGAAGGGGAGCAGGCACCTTCTCCAGGGCACATTTCACTTACAATCTCTTCTTACAGTCAGCTTCTTTAGCACTGAGATGAACTTTTCCCTCTTCTACAAAACTGAGAGAGCTCCTGATTACTATGACGCAAGGAACCTCCTCGAAAACTGGGTGAGTAGCTTTCTTTTCTCATTTTCATGTCTTTCTAGCAAGTATCAGATGAGGAGGACAGCTGGTGCAGCACGTAAACTGATGGGACCACACAGAAACGAGTACCCATGTAACACTGCTGCGGTGTCTCAGAATCACGTTACCCAGCACGCTTTGAACAAGACAAAGTGAAATTCTGAAGGAAGGGAAAAGTGCTGATATTTTGCCAAAAATTGTAGCCATTTTCATTGGGATTTAGAAATTTCGATGGCAATTCAAATAGAGAAAGTATCAACAAATCAAGTTAATAAAAATGTCATTGTTTTCTTTCCAGTTTCGTATCATATTTACTGGAGAAGAATTTGTTGTGCCAAACTTTAAAGTCAGGTAAGCCTCCGGCTCTGCAGTGGTGTCACCTCCACCCTCTGTCCTGTGAGTGAAATTGCAGCCAGGTTCCAAATGACCGGTCCTGTGCCAGGGGTGGAAACCAGCCCCCCCTGAGCTGTATGATCATGTAGAACACTCACGTTTTGCTTGCTGGGCTTATTGACCTCAAAATATATATCCTGCCTAATGCAAGGCTGCTAGGGCTGCTGAAGCCCTGTTTCAGTGGCTGCTTGTGAGTGTGAAGAGGTCACATCCATCCTCACAGTGAGGGTCTCGTTTGTGTAAGCAAGTACACACTGGCTCTTGCATGGCAGTGTCTAATGAAAGGATATTACAGTTCCCAAACCCTGCTCGGAAGCAAGGCATTGTTGCCCAAGACTCCTCTAGGTCACAGCTTTCAGCCCAATCCAGCTTTAGTCCATATGAAGACAGGCTAAGAGAACTGGGGCTGTTCAGTCTGGAGAAGAGAAGCTGCGTGGAGACCTCAGAGCAGCTTCCAGTGTCTACAGGGATGCTGGAGAGGGGCTCTTCATCAGGGACTGTAGCGATAGGACAAGGGGTGATGGGTTCAGACTGAAACAGGGGAAGTTCAGGTTGGAGACAGGGTAGAAGCTTTTCCCTGTGAGGGTGCTGAGGCGCTGGCACAGGGTGCCCAGAGAAGCTGTGGCTGCCCCATCCCTGGCAGTGTTCAAGGGCAGGTTGGACACAGGGGCTTGGAGCAAGCTGCTTTAGTGGAAGGTGTCCCTGCCCGTGGCAGGGGCTGGAGCCGGAGGAGCTTTAAGGTCCTTTCAACACAACCCATTCTAGGTTTCTATGATTCATATCCAAACTGTGAGCAGCTGGGAGGGACATTTAGCAATTCATAAAGGTATCACTTGCACAGACATGGGGTGTTATTTCATGCATATTTCGACTTCCTACTTTCTTCTCCGACTCCCACAGTTACTGTTTGCTGTACAACTGACAACACGGCAACACGCTGCACTGTTTACACGGGGTGAAGCCAATTCAGAATATCATAAAGGGGAGATCCCATTCTGGAAGAAGCATTTTTTGTCAGGGTGCATATCTGTTACAGCGCTTGGCCTTGGGGATTTCTGTAGCGACACCCAGGCTGGGTTCAAGATGACTCCTCAGCTGCAAGGTCTGGCTCCTTGGGGTCACGAGATAAAGTCTTTAGGTGATAGCAGAATGGGGCATGTTATATGCTTGCTCTGAAATAATGATTCTATTCCTTTTTGCTTGCAGGGGTAATTATCCACAAAGCAATGTCTATAGCAGGCCTCATGTAAGTAATTTCTTAGTTTTGAGTTAAAAACTTACTTTTTCTTATCTCTCCAGGGAGGATATAGTAGTTGTGTGGCTTAACATTGACCTTCAATCTGGTAGGTGTACCCTATTTAAAGAGCTGGGCTGGAAAGCCAGTGTGTCCTCGTAGAGACTGCTACGTTCTGTGCTCTCTGCGTGAGGCACCATTGATGCACTCTGATGTTCTTTTATCCTGATGTACCTCTAGAAGCCCTATGGAACAAAGGGTACTCCAGAGAGTCAGGCCCCAATAGCATTTAAAGCAATAGGCTTTATTTTAAATGAGGACACTGAGTTTCTGCTGTTTGCCTACCTTAAAATCCAACTTGCATCAGTTGATTTTAACCAGCTTCTAACTTGCTGTGTCTTTCTATGCAAACTGAAGGCGAAGCTCAAGCAGCTGTCCCAAAGGTAAGACCCATGGTTATGAACTGGGTTTCCATAGCTCGTATTGATTTCATTTTTTAGGGTGAGGAGGAATTATCTCCTCCTCAGCTGTTTTAGTGTCAGAGTAACTGTGGAACCTTTAGTTGCATAAAGCAGAAGCAGAGTCAAAACCACAGTAATGCTTGACTTGGGGAAAAGTGTTTGAGCATCCAAGGTTTCTCTCTCATACACCGTATCCTGAGAGGATCCAAGTGCTTCCATGGCAAGCTGGGAGGTCTGTGCTGCAATGTAAGAGTTGGCTTCAGATCCTTCACTGGGGCCAATGCCCAAGGAAGCTGCCAGGATGAATCCCACGCCTCTTCTGCAGGACATCCTATTGCCTTCTGACCACAGCCCAGAAAAGGCAGGGGAGCTGGGTTCCCATCACATTTGAGTGGTTGAAAATGGCTTACAAAGGCCATGCTTAGTGGGGAACAGCCCTGTAGAGACAGGAGTGAGCTGGGAACACTTGAAACATCCCTGTCCTAAGGACATCTCACTTCTTTGCCCCCAGTTAAATTAAAGGTCCCTTGAGATGCTCTATCTACAACTGAGAGCGGTCTCTTTGCATCTTTCTGCCTTGCCTGAAGCCATCCAAAGAGAGACACAGTCATTCCAAACCTCCTGATGTCAGCAAACACAGTTACCCAGAAGATACCAGCTGTTTTGAGGACAAAAAGCTGGAATCCAAAGGAGATACTGAAAGCAGTTACTTAAATCCCAGTTTTCCAGGGACCTTGGCATCTGCCACCTCTGTTTGGACACAGGGGTACCCAAGCACCTCATCATTTTATGGCTAGCTCACTCCAGACTTTAAAACATGGTTGATAAATGCTTACTTGTGACAAAGGTGTTCCTGTGCCAGGATAACATGAACAGGAAACCTCTTGTGGTACTTATCATGAAGCTATAAAAAGATTCCTGTGTCTGTATTCCCAGTAATTCATCCTTTATAAAGCATCTCCAGTGATAGGGTACTAGTGTGCATAAGAAGCGACATTTGCCATTGGACTGCACTTATGGCAAACAAAATACATACCTAAATTATCCAATTCAATATACTTTTCTGGGTTACTCCTTCATTTTGTAGTCACTTCTAATTGTGGAATGTTACTAATATGGTAGCCTTGTTTGTGTATCATGTTTGTAGCTACATCTGTAAGGCCATTATAAAGGCCACATCACTTGAAACACAAGAAGCGCTGAGTCTCAAGATCAAGCAATCCTTGAATGGCACTTATGAAGAGGCACTATTATCCTTGTATGTGAAACCTGAAGATGTGGCTGTCAAGCCAATAGGTAATGTAATACTTCATTAAAAGCTCGTTGGAAACCACATGCTTTGTAATTCTGAGGACACTCCCCACCCTCACAGCAAAGAACTTCCGTATATCTAACCTGTGTCTACCATCTTTCTGTTCAAAGCTGTTCCCTCTTATCCCATCACTACTTGCTCTTATAAATAGTCCCTCTTTAAGTTCTCCAGTTCCACTCTCTTTGTTGGTTTGGTTACAATCTCCATTGCTCCTTAAAACACAGAAGTAAGCCAGAGAGAAGAGCTATAAAACTGTACTTGGACTTCAAAAGCACATCTTATACCACAGACTTACAAAAGATCATCTATTTATTGCAGCCAAATAAAGTCTGGAGGAAGGGCACTGAGGGGATAATGAGGGGCAGTGTGAAAGCACCTTCAGATAGGTTAGAGAAGCCTGAAGGATGTTCTGACATTAAATATGGTTGGTGATGCTGGGAGAATGACGCTTTACCTGAGAACTGACCTTGCTAAGCAAAAGGGAAGAAGGCTGTAGAAGAACAGATGAAATACTTCAGCAAAATGCTCTCTTGCAGCCAGTAAACTTGTCAAATGCTCCTCTCCAGTCTGCAGATTACAGCTCATTCCCAACAGGAAAGGAGGCCAGAGAACAGTGTGTTGGGGGGTGGTGTTTACCTTTCAGTTATTCTGTCTTTTGAAAGGGATTCTATGTGTTTCTTCCTCAGCCCTCATGGATTGTCCAGAAAGCTTTTCCCACACAACCTACAAGGGGAATTATTCCTGGCCGCTAACAAAGCCAGCGGCCAAAGCGGCGGTGAACTGCAGGAAAAACCCTCTGCAGTCTGCTGAGAGGAGCTGGTGAGTGACAAAATCATCTCCTTTTGGTTCCTGCATGGAAACGGGAGGGAGAGCCAAGCTCGGAGTGGTGGGAAAGCAGATGGCAGCGTGCCGTGGCGCACAGCACCGCCGTGCCAAGGAAGATGCGGAGTGTGCAGGGATGCTCCAGCACAGGCTGCGGGAGAAGGGAGCCCTGCATCACTTCATCACCTGCAGCAAGCACAAGCAGCACTTGACTCTCTGCTTGAGCAGGGAGAGGGAATGGATGCCCGGTAGTGGTTTGTGCCATCCATTCACAGCTCTGCCTTCCAGTACCTCCAGATGCATTTCAAATTGCTCTGGCATTTAGGCTCTGCTCCCACTCTGCTAAATGAGTGCTAAGTCAGATCTGGCTTGTAAGTCAGTTTTAAAAGTGGGCTAAGTAATGACATTGAATGTACCTGAGTGGGAAATATGAGGAACATCCATTAATACATGTTTTTTTCTTGTAACAATGTACACTGTTTTCCTTTTTCAGTGGAATTAATATTGAACTGGAGCAAGCTTTTTGGAGGAAACCAGATTTGACTGAATGTAGATTACTGGAAGAACTCCCAAATAATATCTTAGACCTCCAGGATACCATGATAACAGAAGGTAAGGCATCAAATACTTCAGTGATAACAGTGAATTAAGGTAAAAACAGTTATACTTAGATAATGCTTATGTTAGACATCTGAAGAACCAAAGCAATAAGGTTGTTTTATGTGCATCCTGCTCACCTGGGCATCTTAAAGTGGTTTTAATGTAGATGAATTTTTGCAGGTGCTTCAAAATTCTCTAGCAATCACTTTGAAGACTTGTCTCAAATCAGAGATTAGACTTAGAACAAAGTGAATTACTGCTGAATAACATGACAGGTTTTGCCTGTCTATGTTACTGCATTGAAGTAGTTGATAATGTTGTACAAAGAGGCACTGATTAGTGTATGGAAGCGAAAAGTTTGTGCTGTAATTCATATAAGCTCTAAGGTGACCTTTAACCGCCTGATTATATCTTTGCTAAGCTATGCAAACAGTACAAGTTGTTTGAATGGTGAACAAAACCAATACCATTGCTCATCCACCTACTCAGCAGTGGCATCAAATAATAGAGCCTTGAAAGAGATGTGCAGTTGCATGCGGGCTGTCTGAGTCCCCGGGTGAAAAACTGCTTCTATAAAAACACTGAGGAGAGATGATGAGATGGTGAATGGCAAATACAGCTCTTCAAACTCTATCATTCAGAAATGGCTTTTGCTGCTGCCCCGGTTAAGCAGCATTTGGGCAGATAGGAAGAACTTGTGTAAATCTGAACTCCAAAATCTGAACTTGTGTAAATCTGAACTTGTAAGCATGACCAAAGCTAAAAGTAAATGTTGCTTACAGGTAACCTTTAGAATCTAAAAGGAGGTGAGAATACTCTGATTCCTTTAACATACAAGCTGAGATACCCAGGTCTTACTTTTTGCCAGCTTCACTGATATGTTGAGGGCTCATTGACCTACTCTTAGGACATAATTCTGTAGTAGATTGGAAGCATTATATCCATATGGAAAGAGAACAGAAGCAGACCAGTTCCTTGCTTTAACATAGAGGCACGGAGCTGTATAGCTAGACTGTACAACTAGACATATAGCTATGCCATGTAAATCACCCGTGCTTTCTTCTTTTTCCTCAGAGAATGCACAGGATGTTGCAGAGCAGATTCTGTACCTCTTGCCAAATGCAACCCTGCAAATGGAAGAACTGGAAGTCATCACAAGTAAAGTTTCTGAGATTGTAAGGCTTGCAGACGTGAGCGTGGCACTTGCAGAGTCCATATTGTCTATACTAAACTATATTTTGCTGCAAGAAATAGAAGATGAGAACATGAGAAAAGTGACCAATAGGTAAGTAAGATAACACCCAGAAGTGGCTTCCTAAGCTACAAAGGCACCATGGAGTAGTCCATTAAAGTAGCACCACAACACTTAGCAATATCCATACTTGGATCTTAAACGTGTTTGTGGTTCTTAGCAGTAGAAACTGGTTATTGCGTTGGCAAAGGTGCTTTTATCAGCACCAGCTCTGCAGAAGTCACCATCAGGGTTGTTCTCTGTGGGCATCTCAGTCTGGAGGCAGAGCAGAGATTGCTGAACTGCCATCTCATCTCCAAGGTGATCTTCACATCCCAGCATGGAGGGCTTCCAAATCTACATTTAGGATCCTACATCCATTATGTGATCCTCACCCGTGCTAAAATTGAAGTTGCTAGATAACTTTGAAAACATCTCTGTCCTTTGAGATCTTAAAGGTGACTCAACTGCCTATTTAAAGGCAACTCAACCGCTTGGTTTTGAAATGTCTGTTCAGAAAACTACTGCCAGTCTCTTCAAAGGCAAATGCAAGTACAGAGTTCACCCACCTCTGGTCTGGCCATGGCAGCTTACCCACTTCTCACTGCACAGCCTGAGGCTCCAAAGAGGAGGGATTATCCTACATTGCACTGACCGCTGCTAACCAACAGTGTAAGGATGCTGCATTCATTGTATTAAAGTCTCTCAGCATCTCTCATTTTAAAGCCTGATTATCAGTGATTTTCTGGTTTACTTAAGGTAAACCAGTACTTTAATAAGAAATGTCAATAAGAAATATCCAAAGCAAGGGAAGTTAACTTTGCACTGAAGTTCTAGGTGAGGCATGGGGTAGGCAAGAAGCCAGTTGTTTGCACTGGACACCTCTGCGTTGCCTTTTCAAACTCAGGAGGCTGCAAGGAGGAGTAGCCAAAACCAGCTTAGAAAATCTGCCAGGGAGAAAGCAGTGAGCAGCATCGTGATCCTTTCGGCTCTGTGCTCTCCCTTCAAAATCTACTGCACCGCAGTGTGTGGAGAGGGGGCTGTGATAGCTGCCAGCACTCAACACCTCTGCCTTCCCAAATAGGCTGGGAGGGGGTTTAAGTGAAATGTTTACTGTGGCTTCTCCCATGAAATACAAAGTTTTAGGGACACAGATGATGTTCTGATAGGCCCTGGAGTCCTGATCCTTAGGGGAACGAACTGGTAGGTGCAGATTGTAATAATAGTGCCTTCACAACTCCAGTCTTTGCTATTTTCACTTTCCCATCAATCAAACCTTACTTTAAAGCACCAAAGAGCATGACCACTGTGATGATGCCTGCTGAGTCCCACCATGACGATATCCTCACGAGAGCTATTATGCTGCTTCTTCCAGATCTCAGCAGAGACTTTGCATCCCAGATATTCTGGGGCAGTTGAACTCCAGGCTTTGCAGCTCTAGGGCAGTTTTGGGGCTCCTTGTGTGTTTGGGACTGACGATGCATGAAGAGAGCACCAGAGCAAAGGACAGTAAGGTTTTCCTTCAGTCTCTTGGGGGCAGCTCTCTTGCAGGTTTTCAATAGGGTATTATCCCTTTTGCATCTCTGAATAGCCTTAAGGGAGGCCAAACAAGACCTGGAGCTGCCTCTGATGCTTAATACCCAGGAGCATCAAGCAACCCTAATTTATTGCTTCCTTTAGATTCCAGCCTCTTCTCTCTACTTAGAAAAAGCCCACTGATAGCAGGGCCTGGAAAGCCTGGAAATCTCCATCCTCAGTGATATCCAGAGCTTTCCCTGGCAAGACCCTGAGCAAATGACCTGTGTTTAAAGTATTCCCTGCCTGGGGAAGGCAGGAAGCTGGATGTCAGAACTCCAGAGGTTCCCTGCAGACTATATTATTCTGGCTCTGATATTTCACCTGGAGGTACAATTAGATGACTGCAGACAATCAAATCAGCAGGTTTTACAAGTCACTGCCTTCCAGATGAAACGCAGTATTTGACTGGGTGTGAATTTAGACTTGGGTCTTCCCAGAGCCACCTTGTGTTGTCCCTGTAGGAGGGTATCATTCACCTACCAGACTTTAAGCTTACAACATGCTAACTCAACCATTGTCTGACCCTGTGCCAGACAAAATGCCATCCACCCATTAATGGACCCATTCTGCTCTAGTGATTGCTCCTTGTGGTCATAAATCACAGCAGAGGTTTTTAACTGCTTCTCTTCTCCTGGGTGCATATTAAGAAGCCAGCAGAACGTTTCAAGAGATGTATATTTCTTGCTTCTTCTCCTTCTTGCTGTTGCTCTTGGTAAAGTATCCTGAAGACAACTGAGGAGATGGGCTATAAGGTGACTTACACAGAAAGAAACACATCGGTCATAACCACTTCCATGGCTCTGCTGGTGACGCGTCCAGACCCCAGCACGTTTGGAGGGCTGGCCTTTGGCGTTACCTCCTACAACAGAGGCCTGGATCTCAAGGTGAGAGCAAAATATCACCTCGGGGACCACCGACTCAACCAGACAATCCTGCTGTGTTGTACCATGGCATATTCGACCTGAGGAAAGCGTCTCTGAACACATCATCTCTCTTCCCTGCAGATCAACATTCAGGAAAACCCTTTCAAAGAGGCCTTGGCCTCGGTGTTTTTGCCAGAATCACTGAAGAAATTCCTTGGGATCAAGCACTCTGACCCGGAGAAGCGTTCCAAGATCCAGTTTAACTTCTTTGGCACGACTTCACTCTTTGTGGTAACTACAACTCCTACCAAATGCGAACACAGCAGGAATCAGTTCTGCTGTTCTTGGTGTGTGCTAAAGAAAAAACCCAATAGTTTTATCTGTTCTGGGCACATTTAGCATCAGACTGATGGAGCACTAAGAACTGTGCAGGGAAAATGTTCCCAGGCAGCAAAACCTTCTCTGCAGCAAGGATGCTCTGAGAGGTGTCTGTAGACCTCAGACTTGGTGCTCACTGTCTGTAGCTAAAGCTGTTCTAATACTTCTGTAGGAAAAGAACATCCCTTAATCTTCCCCTGCTGGTGAGCCCTTGCTTAAGGAACATGCACAGTACATGTCAAATAGCATTGAAATAACTTCAAGATTTATGTCTTCATTAAAATAACAGCATTTAGGGCTATTCTACTACTTGCTGTTTTCTTATCTCAGGGGGGAGTGGGTGAATGTGATTTAAAAAGGAGACATTTCTTTTGGTGTGATGGAGCAATACAGTGTGCTGAGCAATGCTTTTCACGCAGAAGCAGCACTCCTCATTGTGTCTGCTGTCTAATGAGCTTAATGATGTACAACTGGATGTTCTGATGTACTGAAATGATTATACAGCTTTCTCAATCCAGATGATGCATCTGAAACTCTGTTCTGCTTCAGCTGCTCTGGAGACTGCGCCTGAATATGCAACTAATTACATTTTCTAATGAAGTAGCAAGTGGCTAAATTACATCAGGCATCCCATGTGTTCCAAAAAATACAACTGAAGAAAATGGAAGCAGGGAAGAGCTTGGGTTTTACTTTTCATGTGTGTATTTTCCCACTGCAGGATGGCAGCTTAACGAAGGAGAGGTTGAATACTTATGTTGTGAGTGCCAGCATTGAAAATGCATCAGTTCAGACCCTTAAGGAGCCTGTGACTATTACTCTTCAGCACATAGACCATAATACGGTAGGATGTGTTCATTTTATCAGAGACATGTTGAAGTAGAGCCTATTTCACTTGGCCTTACAATAAGCCATCAACAGAACAAATGAGTTTAGACCACTTTGCTGCCTGACCTCTCTGTGATCATCAATCCAAATGCTCACAGACCATGAAGATGTTGGTATTTAATTCTGCAGTTAGCAAAGCTTGCATCTCCTCTCTACTAAATCCATGCTTGGCAGCAAGGGGCATTTCATTGTTTCCTTGTTTTGATCTGATTTTTTCCAAGGAACAGTTGATTTGCTAAAGAACTGCAGGTTTTGGATTTGACTGAAACCATTTGTAGTCACTCGAAATCCAGCAAATTGGTTTAGCCACCAAAAGAGGTAAATTAAAAGAAAAAAATCAAAGCATTGCACAGATATCTTCAAAATGAATTTCTTCGGTTTCAAAATGATGGTTTGAAACTAAAATCTACCTTAAGTTATTTTTAAATGAGCACAGGTCAAGCTTGGTGACTGAGTTCCCCCTTAGCATTTGTGCGTTGCCCACCTTTATGGCCCAGCCTCCATGTGAGTATATTGCAAACTAACAGCAGAACCAAATTAGTCCATGAGATGAATGTGATTGAAGTTCAAGTTAATGAGAGCTTGAAAATGCTGCTTTTATGTCAATAAGCTCCTTCCAGTCAGTTCTAGCAGATTATCTGTGTACCCAAAGACTTCATCTAGATAACCCCCCCTCTTCCATCACTTTTACTCCACCATCTGGCACCTCTCAGACTTTTTTCCTTGACCTTTTAAAATTATCCTCATTAAATATTTAATGGAATATCATCCTAACCTACATCTTTGGCTCTCTGCCTCATTATATTTGACAGTCTGCCGATCACGGATCTTATCAGCTTATCTGTTAGGGTGGCTTCCTGGAAACTCTGTGCTTTATTAAACTTTATTAATACTATAATAAAAGAAAATGAATCTGTGCCTTGGGAAAGTTTGTTGCAGCATCATGAGTAATAAACTAGAATGTCCCCAAGAGAAAACACTGCTTTGGATACCCATTTATATCTGTTCAGCTCTTATGTGTCTTCCCTGCCTGGCTTCAGAATGGGAACATAGACACTGTAAAATAGAAGCTGAGAACTGTGGGGGTTTATTGTGTAAAGTCTCAGGTTGTTATTGTAGTCTTAGTCATAACTTGTGAAATTCACTGGTAATTTGGTATGACATCTCCAAGAGCACATGAAGCCACTGAGATTAGACACAGGCATCGCTCTAAACTGGACAACCTGTCAGATTTTCTGCTGTCCTTAAATACTACAAGAGAAAAGAAGACTGCTAAAACTGGGAAAATCACTGACTCCTGGCATTTCCCTTGGTAAAGGGCAAGGTGAAAACTGGGAGTGGCTTGGAGCAAGCTGCTCTAGTGGAAGGTGCCCCTGCCCATGGCAGGGGGATGGGGCTGGATAAGCCTTAAAGTCCCTTCCAACCCAAACCAGGCTGGGATTATATAATCCATCTGATTCCCAATGAACTGCTGGCATCTTCAGTGACCTGCACATCTGTGAGTACACATGGGTTATAGGTGTGCTGACTGAATGTCACAGCCTCCTTTTTCTCTGCTTCCAGGGGAATGCAGCGGTGCACTGTGTCTTTTGGGACTTCGAGAAGAACAGTAAGTGTTACTTACAGAGCTTCAGGCTTGATCTGTCTCCAGCAGCACAGAGCCTTTGGCTCCTTGACGTTGCAGCTTACAGCTTTGAGGGTGTCCTGTTGAGTCTGTGCCGCTGACTCTTGTTGGTACCTCAGGAATCACTGTTATCAGTAGGAGACACGTGTGGCACTGTACAGAGATGCATCCACATGAATAAGAAGACTTAGCCTAAGGAAATCAGAAATGAAAGGAAATGTGAGCTGATTTCTCGTAGTTACTTCAGGGAAGTCAGTGGGGCTTTGCTGGGGTTAAGTCTTGAATATGGCTCTTGAGAGAAGGAAAGGGAACTGTGTATTGGGTGAACTCAGAACACATGGGAGAGGTTTTCTCTGCACTTCTTGGTGTTAGAATATCTATTTTTAAGAATCAGAAGCTGAGTTCTGAACGCATCATACATGCCACATAAATAGGGACATAAAGTTAATCTTACCAGGGAAGATCTGGCTTTTTCAATGCTACACTGTGCCTAAAGAAACCCTCTGCCCTTGCCTTCTGTGTTTGCACATCCTGCAGCGTCATCTAGTCCAGCACACTCTTCCTTACCTTCTTGCTTTCTCTGTGTGCAGGCATAGAAATGACTTCAAATATTTCTGCATCCACCAAAGGCTTTCAGCCAAGTTTTGAGATTCTCAGGCAACTACAGAAGAAGTGCTCCTGTGTGAAATCTCACTTGTGTGCTGCTCAATGACCCTGCAATCTGTACCAACTTGAGCTCGTATTCACACATTCTGCAGGCTGCAGAGCTATAAATGACTGAGCATGACTAACTCTCTGCTTAAAACTCCCTTTTTCTCTATTACACAGATGGACTGGGTGGTTGGAATACGTCAGGGTGTGAAATGGATTCTACAGATAGGAATTATACAATCTGTTTTTGTAACCATCTTACCCATTTTGGAGTCCTACTGGTAAGCATTGCGTGAATCATCTCCAAGAATCCCGTGGCATTAACCAAAGTCATCACTAGTTTTGGGGAGGGATGGGAGATTCAGAGCTATACAAGCTGTTAGTTATCTGCAGGTTTGTCAAAATCACCATTAACAAACCAAGCAGTTACAATAATTGGTTATGGTATAAAGTCCTCTAAAGGTCTTCATTAGACATTTAGACTTGCTGTTAGACAACAGACTTGCTTCAAGGCAAATTCATTTTACAAGATGTAGTTTGGACTTCTTTTGCAATCATCAACTCCGTTAATGTGTTATTTGCTGCATTGGAAATACTGTGTTAAGCTTACTGCCTGTCAGTGGCAGCTAGTGAAGTCACATCTTCCTGCAAGTGGAATCTGTGCTCTGTCAAAAAGGAAAGCTTCGTATAAATATGGGAGATGTCATTTTTAATCTATAATACAGGGAAAACTGCATCTAAAAGCTGAATGTCAAAACCTGAGATGACTGCCTGAGAATGGGCTGCAACACATGCAAAGGGATAGGCAAGGTCAGAGCAGGCTGAGTAGGCTGAAGTTGTCTAATCCCAGCAGGATACAGCCATTGCAATGGGGTAATGCCAGCCCTATTACCTTCAATAGCAATATTAATGGAAACCCTCCAAAAGTGGCAATAAGCAGGATGGAAATAAATTTCTTTATCAATATGAAAGGTGGAAATGAATTTTCATTATCGGTTATGGCAAACGAGTGATTTCTTATCTTGTTACATAGGACTTGGCCCGGACGGAGATAAATACCACACAGGAGCGAATATTAACTCTGATAAGCTATGCAGGATGTGGTGCTTCTTCCCTGTTTCTGTGTTTAACACTGGTGACATATCTAGCCCTTGAGTAAGTCTGATCCTTTTTCCTATGTCCTTTTTACTCCTATTGCAATAATGAATTTGAAGCAACTATCAGAAGGTTTGGTGATATTTGGTGCTGTGATGCATAGGAGGGAAGATGTAAATGTTGCTTTACTTTAACCATGACCGTGGCAAAATAAGAGGGATCCAAACACTCATGCTTCAGTACAAGCCCTGGTCTGAACTGCTCAGCAACTTCGATGTTCCTCATTTTCAGTAATTTCATAAACTTACCCACTGATACAAAACACTCATGTAGACACAACTTATCGAATAACAGAATCCCAGCCTGGTTTGTGTTGGAAGGGACCCCAAAGCTCATCCAGTCCCAACCCCTGCCACGAGCAGGGACCCCTTCCACTAGAGCAGCTTGCTCCAAGCCCCTGTGTCCAACCTGCCCTTGAACACTGCCAGGGATGGGGCAGCCACAGCTTCTCTGGGCACCCTGTGCCAGCGCCTCAGCACCCTCACAGGGAAGAGCTTCTGCCTAAGAGCTCATCTCAGTCTCCCCTCGGGCAGGTTAAAGCCATTCCCCTTGGCCTGTCCCTCCATCCCTTGTCCCAAGCCCCTCTCCAGCTTTCCTGCAGCCCCTTCAGGCACTGGAGCTGCTCTCAGGTCTCCCCTTCAGGAGCCTTCTCTTCTCCAGGCTGACCCAGCCCAGCTCGCTCAGCCTGGCTCTAGTGCAGAGCTGCTCCAGGCTTTGCAGCATCTCTGTCGTTCATCTCATACCACAAGAACCCAATCTGTAACACAACAAACACCCATTTGTGCTACTTGGCACTAGTGAATGCACCCAGCATAAGTCCTGCAATGACAACCCTGTGGACTTTCCCATTCCTTTTAGAAAGCTGCGGAGAGACAACCCTGCAAAACTCCTGCTCAACCTTTGTGCTGCACTGCTGATGCTGAACGTGGTCTTCCTCACCAATTCCTGGCTGGCCTCTTTCAACCAGCCTGCTCTCTGTATCACCGTGGCCATGCTCCTTCACTACTTCCTCCTTGCAGCTTTCACGTGGATGTGTCTGGAGTCTGTTCAGTTTTACTTGGCTCTCGTCAAGGTTTTCAATGTCTACGTCCCAAAGTACATCCTAAAATGCTCTATTGCTGGCTGGGGTAAGTAAGCACCTCTTCTGTAGGGTGTACCTGTTGCTCCCTGCATGGTCATATGCAAGGAAAGGTGGAAGTGGGTATAAGGAACTGCTTTCCCTACCCCTCTTTCTCTCTTACAGGGATGCTTTATCATGGCATCTCACAGCAGTGCGTGTCTCTGAGGAAGTATGAGCTGCCCACAGCCTTCATCTCTGTGCTGGTGATGCTCAGAAGTGATTTTAATCTCCTTCTCTAGGCTTTTTACCTGCTATTCTATGCATGATTCCCCCATGGGGGCTGGATTTGGCTTTCATTCATAACTCTCCTGAGGACTTAATTCATTCACTTTTCCTCCAAGAACTGAGCATCAGAGACTTGTTTGGGAGAAACATAACCAAAAGAACCCAAAATACTGGCTCAGCTCTTAAGAGATGTTATCAGAGGCACTAACCCAGAGCAGAATCAGATCTGTGTGTTTTGGGTTGCCATGAGATGCCATTTTAAAGGGGTTATTAGGCTTTTGAATGTCATCATCCTTACCCCTAGATCTCAGGTGGCACATAGTAGTTCTCAGCCCTCCGTGATGGTGATGTTAGTGACAGCCGTCCCCAGCAGAAAAACCAGGACTGAAAGAAATCCAGGAAATGGGAAGTGGGCTGAAGGGAAGACACTGCCTGGGAAACATCTGTTTCTATTGGATCGTAACACAAAATGCTGTGGTTTGCTTATCTCGTGACGCTGCTGTTTGTACTAATCACTTAATTTCATTGAACCAGATTGGATCCCTTCTGGAGCCGTTTGAACACTCACAAACATTTTGCAAACACAGATATTTTCATGCCTACTCGTTTGTAATTTACATAAATAAGGAGATTAAGCCTGCTCTGCCATGCATTGAATCACACTTGTCTCAAAGGGGATCCTTAGGGGTACGGTTTGATCCAAAGATGTCCGAGTCTGCTGTGTACCCGTCAGATTAGCTGACATCTTTCCATAGGCTCCATGTTTTCTTATTAATCTAAGTATTTCTTTTCCTCTTGTTTTCCATACTAGGAATACCAGCTCTCATCATTTCTATTGTGCTCATTATAAATAAAGACTTCTATGGCGATGGATCACTCTCAGAGAGCAACCCATTCAGCAACTTGTAAGTATAAGCTTTTTGATGGTCAGCAGAGTATCTAAAAGATACAAGAAATAACCAGAACAACTCTTCTCTGGCTTCGGTCTTTTCTCCCCCATCTTAATCCTCTTCTTTTAGTGGTTCTGGTTCATTGGATCACTTTGGATGTACAGCTACTACATGGAGTAATTCTCTCACACCAGTGGACTGGGCTTGAGGACAGGGAGGGCTTCTGCCAGTCAACTCCATGTGTGCTTTCTGGGAAATCTCTTTCTTTACATGACATTAGCTCAGTCTGATGTATATGTCTCATTCTCATGGATAACTCAGTCTCATGTGTATCTGCTCCTGCATGTTCGAAGTTCCTGGGAAAACCTAAAAGCAGAATAATGGCTTTGGATTTTGCACCTTTGTTTCTGTTTTTTTTTTTAATGTCAATTCACTGTCACTGTCTCTTCATCGTTTCCAATTCTTTTATTGACCTCCTCTCACCATCCTCCCTTTTCCTGGGGGAAAAGGCTGCATTCTTTCATCCTTCTTAAAGAAGGGTTTTCCAGTAAAGAATGCTCCATTTTTTCACCTGCTTTCTGTTTGGCACAATCTGATCACTTCTTGGCGAAGATTACCTGGGATATTTGAATTCCATCCCATCAGAGAGGCAATGCACGCCCAGAACACCTCAGAGGGAAAACTGTTACCCATCTCCAGCAAAAAAGGCAGTAAAACTCACTTATGCCTGAGGAAAAGCTAACCAGGGCTCATCTCTGTGTTATCCTAATGAAGTGGTATTTAACTCAGTTTTCCTAAGGCAGGGTTTCTTTGTGTATGTAGAAACATAGAATCCCAGACTGGTTTGGGTTGAGGGGACCTTAAAGCTCCTCCAGTTCCAACCCCTGCCACGGGCAGGGACACCTTCCACTGGAGCAGCTTGCTCCAAGCCCCTGTGTCCAACCTGCCCTTGAACACTGCCAGGGATGGGGCAGCCACAGCTTCTCTGGGCACCCTGTGCCAGCGCCTCAGCACCCTCACAGGGAAGAGCTTCTGCCTTATCTCCAATTTGAACTTCCCCTGTTTCAGTATGAACCCATTGGCCCTTGCCCTGTAGCTACAGTCCCGGATGAAGTTAATAATTAATATTAGTATAATAAGAATTATATTTACGAACATTAGTTACATTATGAAGTTGTGTAACCATTGCCAGGTTTATCTGAATTTGGCAGAAATATTAAAGTCTCAAAGTTGAATTTCTGTAACATCTGTAAAAAAGGCAAGTGTGGAGATTCTGTGGATGTCCTCACTGACGGGAAGTGATTGCTGTTAGGGAATGCTCCTTACTAGGGTTTGGAGAACCATACAAGACACTTATATCGGGAACCAGGCTTCCTTAGTTTCATTGCTCGCAGAACTCCTCACTGAACACGTACCTCCCTTTCTTGCAGCTGCTGGATTCAGGAGAACACAGTGTTTTACATCTCCGTTGTGGCCTACATCTTCTTGATATTTTTGATCAACACAGCCATGTTCATCACTGTTCTCCTTCAAATCCACTCCATGAAATCCAGGACACTCAAGAGATCCAGGTTCTGGAAACGAAGTTTTCTCCAAGACCTCAAAAGTGCTTTCAGCTTGATGTTCCTTTTGGGCTTAACTTGGGGCTTTGTCTTTTTTGCCTGGGGAGCAGTGAGGATATTGTTCTTATATCTCTTCAGCATCTTTAACACCTTGCAAGGTAATATCTGAATGGAATACTGTTATAAATACAACAGTTTAGGGCCATGGAACAGAAATAAATATGCATCATCATGTAGTTCAAGCATGGAGAAGAGGTTATATGGCTTTTATGTTAGTGTTTAGCTATTGTAATGGGAAAGCTCCACTGCAGTGGGATGATAGTGGTGTTTAAATAGTGTTGCTGGGATAGATATACTAGTAAAGACGCAAACTCATGCCTGTGAAACATGGGTCCCAGTAAATTCATCCTTTTCAGGGTGGCACAGTCCTTTTCATCTGGGCACAGAAATGGTTGATAGAATCTACAGTGACTTGCAAGTTATTTTGATACCAAATCTGCAGAAAGCTCTTCCCATTACCCTTAGATGTGCACAAAGGACTTGGTGCAGTTCTGGTCCAGGTTCCACCTCTCTCTGCCCATACGTAACCTACTGGTAACTGAGTGGCATGCAGAAAACATAGGAAAGGGGCAGCAGGCTGGAGAATCCACCTGAAACCCTGTGAATTTCTCTGCTTACTTCTTTAGGGTTCTTTATCTTTGTGTTTCACTGCCTAATGAAGGAAGAAGTAGTGAAGCAGTGCCGAGTACACTTCTGCTGGGGGAGATGTCGGCGGAGTAACTACTCTGGTAAGCACTGAGGGGATTTGTTTAGCTTCACTCATAAGTCTTCTGCTGCTTTAAGAAATAAGGATCCCCTCTACAGCCCTTCTGCATTGCATTGGATAATTGCTCCTTAATAGCTCTTTATCCTCTTCCAATAGCTTCTGATGTGATATGATGGTGGCGTGACAGCACGCAGTCAAATGTAGATTACTAAAAGAGGTTTCAGCTTGGTCTCTAATTCTGTTCTCACATTCAGTGTTCCCTTAATGTGAGCTATGATTTTGGTGGCCTTCCAGTCTTCATAAAGCTGAGATTCAGAGATTTAGGTAGGATATTGGACATAGCAGTAGCTAACTTTTATGTGCAGGAGCAGGCTTTGCTCAGCCTGGGAAGAAGGGAATATAACCACTGTCTGGCTATCTGAGGGGTGGTTGTAGAGAAGAGACTCTTCTCAGAGGTGCACAGCAGGAAGAGGCAAAGGACATAAGCTGCAGCTATGGAAATAGCCACTATTTATAAGGAAACACTTTATCTCAGAAGGAAAGTAGTTGAATAGATGCCAGTGGCCTGACCAAGCTGATCCAGCTCTGGGCAGGAGGTTAAAGTGAAGCCCCCCAAAGGTCCCTTCCAACCTAAATCATAGTAAGATTCTGCTATCTGCCAGCTCAGCAAGAAATAACAAGTGCTGTGGCTTGTTCTGGGCTACCCCAGCAATGCTGATTCTGCACAGAAATGTGGAAGAACTTAGAGACTTCAGCACCTCTGTGTGCCTATCAAAAGTAGTTGACGTTACAAATGGGTATACCAAAGGAGAAGGCAAATCAGTTGGTTTAGTGTGTACCTTCTGTCTTCTTTGATACGGCCTTATCCAAATTAGATTGGGTCACTAACTAGGAGATAGAAGACTGGGTTGCTGGTACAAGTGTGACAGAGCCAGCGTGAAAGCTAACAGCAGTTGTGCTGCACAGGGACCCATGGCTTCAAGGCAGGTACAAAGGTGGCACAAGAGGCAAGCACAGACCATTCTCCTCCCTGATTTATCATAGTTTGAGATGTGAATATAGAGAAGTTTATTCCTGTGCCTTCCACTTTCTGATTTCAGACTGGAATGGGTCAGGTGCAGCTGCTGGATCTACACCAAAGTGTTTAAACCCCAACTCACCATCCCAGGCTATGTGGAATCTAAATTCTAATGGAACAAGTTCCATGTTCAATGGTTCAGATTTCCTTCCAAGGACTTCTTCAGATAGACATTTTAGGATGGGTAAGAAAGTGTGCACTGGTTCCATGTGGTGACTGCCAACTCCCAACCCATGGCAATAAACAGGAGCCCTTTCATTGCTTTGTCTCTGCCAGGCTTCAGTTTGGGGTTAATGGCTACATTACAGATGGCTTTTGCTGTACTAAGTAAGTCCTTAAGATCCTGTTGTATGGCTCTTCTGCAAAAGGAAGGGAATTCTCTGCTCAGTTTCCACCTTAAGCACCTAAGAGATGTTCTACCCTGGGCCACCTGGCTGTCATTCTCATGGGACATACTTCCAGTCTGGGAGCACTATAGCTTCTCCCATGCATTCCCAAAAGAGCAAAGACCTTGGGGAGCACAGAAAGCTGCTGCGAGCCTGGTTAATGCAGGAGAATCCCAGCAGGAGGGTTTGCTTTCCAAGGTGGAGAAATTGCTGCAGACCCATGTTCTGAATTAGGAATGCCTTTATAGGAATTCTGACCTAAGCACCAACTATTCCCGGTTGCTTTTGGAGCCACGCTGATTTCTGTTATTTCCCCAAAGTGGTTAAATGGGTGAGTTCTGCACAGACACGTTTCTTTCTAAATAGATTAGAACGGAACATTATAATGGAAAACTTCTCATTCTTTTCCATAGCTGAAGTTCATTCCAACCCCAGTGCTTTGCTCCCAGAAGACGCTGAGACCAAACATCCTTGCTCACAAAGAATATTCCCCATGGATCCAGGGCTGCACTATCCACCGAAAGCAACGTTTCTTCATTGATACTGAATTTGGTTTCTTCTGATGCTCTAAGGATGGTTCTTTTTTTGTGGCATGTAGAAATAAACATTGGTCTAAAGAATGACTTCTAATGTAGAGTTATCACTCTGAACACAATTAGAGAGCTAAGCCATCCCTATAGGGTACTCTAGGCTTCAGTGGAGTGGCACTACTGACCACGTAAGGAGTTGGTCCCCCAGTGTTTCCGAGATTAAACAGAGACTGGAATCATCCTCTTCCTCATGGTTCACCCTTCTCTGAGTTTGTCCTCTTTTTTCTTCTCTTTACACCTTCCTGCCATCCCTGTGCTCTTCTCTTCACTTGATTCTTATCCTCAGAACCTAATACCCATACCACTGAGTTTCAAGCCACAGTTTTGAGCCTGTTTGCTGTCTCACGCGTGGGTGTCAAAGTTCACCCATCAGTGTCTTTCCTTCCTTTTTCTTTGGTGGACTTTGGTCCACTTATACATTAAGAAATCTGACTCAGTTTCCTAAACTCTTCCTTCCAGTTTCATGTTTTTACTTTCAGACGTGTTGGCGCTGCTGGCTTACATACAGATCTCAAAGGAGATGTAGAGGCATGTTTACATGCTTGCCCCCTACCAAAGGGGAGCTTGCTTTCAGCAGATGGGTTTGAATCAGTAACTTGCCTGCACAATCAAATCCTAGTTTCAGTTTTGAATGCCCTTCTCTGTATCACTCAAGTAAAGGTTTGTTGATGATTGCTAATAGAGTAAAACACTAACTTGCTCAGATCACAGAGAAGTAACGAAGTATAGCGGAGCCATGTCTTAGAGGTGGTATGTACGATAGCGAATACAAAAGGTTCTTTCATTCTGTGAATAACTCCCACACAGCAATTAGTAGGAAAAGATGAGTATTTCAGTGTACAGTAGCTGCAGCCAGCCTACTTGAAAGGAGACAGCTCACCTCCCCTTCCTTGGCTTTCTGGGAGTAACGTTAGCATTGAAAACATACAAACGAGTTTCACCTCGCACCCAGATGTTTTAACTTGGAACTGCTTTCATCGAGAGAGAAACTGAATGTAAAGTATGTTGGACACTTGAACTAGCATCCTCTGCTTGTATTCTGTATTTTCATTAGTAAACTCTTTGTTCCACATCCTGCTGCTGAATAAAAGTTTTCCCTGCTTTCTGATGAGAAGCAGGACATGGCGTGCCATGGTGCTGTGTGCCATGGTGCTGTGTGCTAGGGCTGGGCCTGGGTCCCCTTGCGTCCCTAAACGGGATACTGTATACCTAAAGGGGAGTCCTGGGTGAGGGAAGAAAGGAGGCTGTGGAGGTCTGTACAGGAACTGGGGCAGGGGGGAATGGCTTTAACCTGCCCGAGGGGAGACTGAGATGAGCTCTTAGGCAGAAGCTCTTCCCTGGGAGGATGCTGAGGCGCTGGCACAGGGTGCCCAGAGAAGCTGTGGCTGCCCCATCCCTGGCAGTGTTCAAGGGCAGGTTGGACACAGGGGCTTGGAGCAAGCTGCTCTAGTGGAAGGGGTCTCTGCCCGTGGCAGGGGTTGGAGCTGGATGGGCTTTAAGGTCCCTTCCAACACAAACCAGTCTGGGATTCTATGTTTCATTACACTCCTGATAAAGACAAAATGCACCTTGGTTTTCTAAAGTTTTTGCTAATTGCCTTCATAACAACATTCAGTTATTAGCAGCAACAAAGATTTGGATAAAACCTGGAGAAGCAGTGAGAAAAGTGTTGGAATACTGAAGACTTCTCAGTCTTTCTTGGACAGAGCCATCAGCATGTTCCCTGCTTTAGAGGTGGGACAGAGGGAAGCAGAGCAGGCTGCATGGATGGGCCTCCATTCTTGCTGATGATTTGATTTTTCCATTAAAAAAGCAAAAGCTGAAGGAAATGTTTTAAAACCTGTCAACTTCTTATGCAAAATGCTAAGTGCTATTTGCTCTCCATCATATGTCTAATAGCTTTTCCACCTAACCAGTGCAGCATCCCTGGTTCAAGCACGGCATTGTTTTGGTTGTCAGCCGGAATGAGGATGTGTCATTTTCTTTGGGCTGAAATTGTATCTTCAGCACCTATTACATTTGCTCTTCTCTAATGTATCTACACCGACATTCTGCCACAGAACTGTGCACTGAGGGTTTGCACAGGGAGAGGATATGCACAAAGTCAAACCCAATGCAGAATTCCCATGTGCTTGTGGTTCACATCCTCATCATTCTAAGGGATGGGAGCAGCATCCGCAGCTCTGGCTTGAGCGTGACCTGACGAGCAGGAGCGTGCCAGTGATGCAGATGCATCCTCCTCCCTGCAGGCTGGATTGTATCAGTTGGCTCTGCTCCCTTGCTGAGAAAACAGCAATCTGAAAGCTCCCCTGATTTCTAAGTCAGTCTCATTTACTCCTAGATAGCTTATTTTTAGTGATATACACACACCAAGAAATGTGTGCTCTATTTTAAACCAATGGAAGGAGGATTTCTGACAGTATAGTTATCTATGGAGACAATTATTTAATGTCAGATCTCAGTGGGCTGTTAACAATAGGTTAGATGGTGCAGAAGAAACACAAAATGATAGTAAAATCACTGCAGCAGCTGGGGTGAGTGGGGCAAAACCCTCTTCACTCCCATCTTGCTGTTTAGACCAGCATGGAACCACCACCCTTCATACCAGTTAAGTCAGTGGATGCAAATCCAAGGTCTAAGCAGCTCACTCAAGGGTCCCTGGAGCCTTTTCACATCTCTGTATGGACAAGCTGCCTTCCAGCTCAATGCATGTACCATGCTTTAACAACCATAGATAGAGAACATTACACAGGATGACAGGTAAAGGTCAGTGCAGCTTGTTTAAGTTTATGAATCTACAGCAGTGGTTTGTAATACACTTTAGCAATACTGATGCCCAAGATGTATAATTCTCTCTCCATTTAGCAGACAGTTATTACTGGGGCAACAAAAGGAATGTCATTATGAGAAATGAGTTAAGATTAAAAATCAAAACACTGGGAAGATAATTACCCATTGCATAAGATGATGGTTAAGTCTTAATGCACAATACTGTGTGCTTCGAGGTATCAGAAAGTATTTAGCATGTAATGGCACTCTAATGGTTCTAAATTAAATGGATTATTGAGCATTTCAAGGATGCCCAAAAGAATTGTGCTTGCTGTATTACTCCATTGCCTGCTTGTTGCTGTAATGGAAGGAATTCAAGGGTACATTCCAGTGTTTATTTTTCTCTCTCTTCTAAGAAATGACACCAGTTTTTCCCCACCATTCCCATACTGAAACCGGCTGAGGAAACCCTTGGAAAAGGAGGCTGGAAGGGATGCAAGAATGGAGAAACAGGATAAAAGGTATTTGAAGCCATTGGTTAATGTCAGCACTTGAGATCCTGTCACAGGCAGACTGAGTCCCACTGACTCCACCGAATAGCCTGGATTCAGACATAGCAGAAGTGGAAACAGCCCTGGGTGTGTTAGTAACTTACTTTAAACATGGCCTGCTGTCTCTGACATTGACGCTCACTTCAGGTGTACATTTGGGCTTTCCCATTCAACACCTGGCTGCTTGAACACTGAGAAATGGACTGGGAACAGTCACACAAGTCACACAGCCCATATAAAAGCTGTCAGACAAAAGCTTCGTTCTTAGTATTGACATGAGTTACGATACTGTTTGTCCCCTCCTTTTTCCAGCAGGTCGAGGGAGGTGTAAGAGGAATGTGCCTGTGGTGCCCCAATGGCAGAGTTCTGCTCTGCGCTGAACAGGCTGGGCACATGGTTAGCATTTGGGCTCATCTGTAGAAGAGATCTTCATCTGAGAAAAGCCTTTTAGAAGAGAGGATGCCGCAACAGCGACTACCACAATGCAGGGCTAGGATAGACAAGCTGTTTGGTATCTCTCTGCTGTTATCACCCAGAGAACATAAACATCAGTGGAGAGACAGAGAGATAAACCAGCCAGCAATAAACAGATGGCCATGTTGCTGGGGGAGACAATCAAAGCAAGGGTCGAAAAGGAGTCTGAGATATAAAAGAGGAATGAAGACAACTAAATAGTTTTATGCAGAAAAGATACAAATAATGACCTAAGAAAGTGAGTTAAAATAATCCTACCCCCCCCCCCCCCCCCAGGCTGGCTAATGCAGCTGCAGTTCACTTTTGGGCTCCTGGCACTGTAGCTACAAAGCATTTTGACATACTTGTATAAATAACAATCAATGCAGCATGACCATTATTGCAATGTATGCTGAAATAACATCATTACACTACACAAAATAATTACCATTTTGGCAAGTCTGCTTCTGTGATGGAGGGAAGGTTTTGGCTCTCCTCTCTGTATTTTGGCTTGACGCACAGCAAATGGTACGCAAAGAGCTTTTTCTGAGCGGGTGACTCTATGCAGCACATGGGACTTCAGACAGGATTCACACTGCATTCAAACAGAAGATTTGCATTAAAAACACAGCTAAACGCTATTCTCTTGAGTATTTGACTCCATTTTTTTTTGCAGCATGGAGCTCAAAAGGAACATTCATTTTCTTCGAAGGCTGGTACTTAAAACAACAGCCAGAATTACCCAAATTGCTTTTCTCTTCACACCAGAAGATACTGCTCTAAAAGAATGCCTTAGAGTTGTTTACTGTTTGCAATAATGACGCCACTCTTTTCGTTTTCAGCTGGATTTGCACAACTGAAAGCTATCAGAATCTGTGTTTAAAACATGGTGTGTTTTTTTCCTGCCTGGTTTCTACCCATGTCAGTATCGAAGAGCACACAAAACTGATGAACAGAAACACTGAAATTCTACCCTCATAAACAAATTGCAGATTTCATGTTTACTGGATGTCCTTCAGGCTGTTGTTTGGTCTTGAGAACGTTATAGAATCTCAGCCTGGTTTGTGTTGGAAAGGACCTTAAAGCTCCTCCAGCTCCAACCCCTGCCACGGGCAGGGACCCTTCCACTAGAGCAGCTTGCTCCAAGCCCCTGTGTCCAACCTGGCCTTGAACACTGCCAGGGATGGGGCAGCCACAGCTTCTCTGGGCACCCTGTGCCAGCGCCTCAGCACCCTCCCAGGGAAGAGCTTCTGCCTAAGAGCTCATCTCAGTCTCCCCTCTGGCAGGTTAAAGCCATTCCCTCTTCTCCTGTTGTTACAGTCCCTGACGAAGAGTCCCTCTCCCCTAATGATTGACTAAGACAGTATCTTATGCTCCATAAGAAGCGAATGTGGCTGAATAGCTCATGGAAAAGGAGCTGGATGGTGCCCAAGAGCAGCTGGCCACAGCCTTGCAGAGACTGAAGGAGGCTGAGAAGGCAGTAGATGAGCGCAAGTGAGGAATGAAGGTTCCTGCAGTAATACGATTCTATGATTCTATGATTCTAATCCCAGGACTGTAGGAAGAAGTGTGGGAAACGAAGGAGCTTCCTTCTGCCAGATTCCCCCAAGGAGGCAGAAAGCCGGGGAAAATACAATCTCTCAGTAGAAAGAGAAACCCAAGCAGAGAGAGGTTCATGCTGCTGTGAGCAGGGTTAAACACATGCACTGTGTCCTATTAGAGACAGAGCAGGGAGAATGTGTCTGTGCTTCCAGGTAATGCAGGCTTCCAAAGTGTGAAGCACCAGATTGAGCATTCAGGGTCATATACATTCTATATACATGAATTCAGGTCCAGTTTGGAATTAACAGCACATGTAACCAGGTGTAAGCAGAATTATAAACCCTTGTTACTTTCAGGGGCTGCTTTCACCCATGGCACATGGTGGTGTCCTTAAGAGGTTTAAATATGGGTTGGGAATGTCTGTCATCTTTCCCTTCTAACCTCAATTATCCCCAGACCAACTGTTGGGAACATCTCATAGCTCAAGAGCCTCTGGTCCTCTGGATTATCTCTTACACAGAGGGGTGTTAGTTCAGGTCCTCCATCCTGCTGTACAAAATGATTGAGTGACAGAATAAACCGAGCCTCAGATTTCATGTTGTCAGCTCTAATCCCTCTGATGGTTCTGAAAGCCTTGGGGAATGTAAGAGGCTGGGATCTATTCTGCTTGCTGAACTTTGGTGTGTCAACCAACCTTTAGTGCAATTAGAAGCAAGTAACTAGTTTCCTTCATCCTAAATGCCAGTTTCAGCTAAACACCTGATGTTTCATTCAGATGCCACCTTTGAGTATTCAACACTTGGTGGAAAGAAATCAGTTGCTGGTGTTTGTTGATGCCCTCCTTCTCCTGCAGAGGAAATCTAAACATTTTATGTAAGTACCTGACATTAAGCTGTCACAATCTGCTACACTCACTGAACTCCAGATTAAATATAATCCACAGTACTACGCCACTGTGGGTGGACAACATAATTGGGCATCCTCAAAGGTACCTAAATGTGTGAGCAACCTACACAGTGTGCCTGCATAAGCTATAGTATGGTTCATCATGACAAGAACTTCTCTTCTAAAAGCACTCTAAAACCAAATGGAACTGGAATGTTTAACCCATTCATCCTTTTTGGATCAGTGACTCCTTCTCCCACCTGGCCACAGCTTCAGTCTGCTGACCATCTCCCAGCTGGTCTACCACCATTCGATACCGATGGCATAGTTGTGTTTGCAAGGACTGGGAATGGGAGAGGGAAAATAAGACTTTTCACAGGGGAGTCTTTTTGAGTCAATGAAATCAACTTGATTTGGTGTGGCTGTGGCTGTGTGCAGCTGAAGATAAGACTGCTTTTATGATCTGAGCAGGGAACCTTCTCCACTTGAACTTCATAGCTGAGAACTGGCTGGGGGAAAATATCCTCCAGCCTGAGCCTGTGATCTTCATTTTCAAGGCATTAAGCTCAGTCCTTTGCTATCTTTTCCACTTGCACTATTTAGAGATTCGATCTTGGCTTTCTTAGTTTCAGGAGATTTAACTAAGTAGGTCCCATTCCTTGTACCTTATTTATTAAAGATAATCAGGAGCTCATCATAGGGCAGAGTTTAAGAGTTGACAAATCTAAAGATAAGAAACCACATAGTAAAAACGTGGTTGATTGAGGCAGCATCAGGAAAAGTTGCTTCTCTCCTAGATGATCTGAATCATTTGTCATACCATCCAAAGCCAGTAACTACATGGATTACTGCAAGATAACAGGCTTCTGTATGGCACCTATAAACCTGTTCAAACTCCAGCATGAGTTGTGGTTTTGATGGCAATGGGATTATTTCAAGGGACAAACCTAATCTTTAATGTAAGAGTTAGCAGGCATATGGCCATAAATATCAATCTTATATTGCCTTTTGGAAGGTTACTGCATTTCTGTGATAAATGGATTAAACAGAGTACAGACAAGCACAGGCTGTCTCTATGGCTTTTCCAGCAAACACTATATTCTGAGTTATCTGTCATTAAGATATACCGTAGAGCTTTGTGGTGAATTAGTCTATTCTATGCTTACCTGTACTGCTGAGAAAACTATTTCAGGTTTTCCTTTGATTTCCTTCTTAGAGTATACTGAGAGATTTTAACAATCATTTGCAACCGATGCAAACCCTAATGCTGCAGTAACCACAAGTACTTGCCAGATACTTCCAAGAGAAACCATCCTTTCAGCTAAAATCTTTAAAGAAACTCCACTTTTCTCCTTTCCTCCTCCCTCTCTGCTCCACCAGCTGAAAAGCCAATAACAAAATTCTCCACCTCCTACACAGTTCAGAACAAGATCCGTGTGCATTTCTCCTAGGCATGTTTTGAAACCCAGAAGGGGATGAAAGTAGTTAATGTGCCATGGGAATCTTAATTTCAGCCGCAAATCTGTATCTTTCTCTTGCTGATATGCTGGAAGCTAAGTGTTAATGTTGTGATTGATTTAAGTCCAGCCTGGGGAGAAGAAGCAGTTGAAGAGATGTCTCAACTATACTCGCCTTCAACTAATGAGACTTTGCGTGCGTCTACAGACGGTACAGAGCTGAAATCAATCATTGATAATGAAACCACAACCGAAGAATGGACCGAAGACTCCTTCCCAGGATTAGAAATACTGTGCACCATTTACATTACATACTCGGTGATCATTTCCGTGGGGCTCCTTGGAAATGCAATACTCATCAAAGTCTTTTTCAAGATTAAATCCATGCAGACAGTTCCAAACATCTTCATCACCAGCCTGGCGTTTGGAGACCTCCTGCTTTTATTGACTTGTGTGCCTATAGATGCCACCCGGTACATCGTGGATACCTGGCTCTTCGGAAGGATTGGGTGCAAGCTGCTGTCTTTCATCCAGTTAACCTCAGTTGGAGTCTCAGTGTTTACCCTGACTGTTCTCAGTGCTGACAGGTGGGTCTGATGCAACTCATTTGCCAGGAGATACCTCTGGGGTGAAGCTAGAAACGAATAAAAGAGCAGAAGTGATCAGTTTGTGCATGTTTTAATTGTGATAGACCAAAAACAAACCCCAAATCAACCATTCTCCCATTTCATTTTAAAATGTGTGTTAGAAAAATCAGAGCAGTTCTTTTTAATGGAGTGAAGTGAGAAAGGCTCTTAAAAGTCTTCTGACCTTTTATTAGCTTGAAGTACAGTACTACGGGGTTCTTTTCCTCTCTTGTACAGAAAGGGGAAATGGCTTAATGCAGGGATAAGACAGTAGATTGGTGCTATCTAGTGGTGCACTAAAGTAGTCAGGGAAGATGAAAAATAAACCTGAAAACGACTGAGTGGAAATCCTTTGTCCTGTGCACTCAGCGAGGCTTTAAATCCTACAACATAAAAGATTGACATATGGGGATTGCAAGCCAAAGGAAAACACAGAACAGATTGGGGAACAAACAGATGACTCTCATGCTTTGATGGTTACTGCAGCACTACACAGTAATTTTCAGTTTGATGAGGGCTTAGTGTGATGTGACACATTTTGAGTATTGTCTCTCAAGGTTCTTTTACCTTTTCCAGAGATTCTTCAGCCCAGAGGTTCTGAAATTAAACTTAGGTGATGAGGAGAGCACTGTTAGATGGGATCAGCACTCCCATCTGACTGCTTTGCCATGCACTTCCTTCCTGAATGAACAAATCTAAGATGAGATTTCAGTTCAATCAGCATTAGCATGCCAAGGAGCAGAAAAAACTGAAATTAATATTAATACAGAAAAAGACTTCCATCTTGTATGCCAGTAACTGGATTGTATCTAACAGCAAGTCCAGAGTTTAATCAATGCTACTGTTACTGTACTCCAGCACAGGAATGGCCACTCTGCATGAGACCAAGGGTCCATGTAGGCCAATACCAGCCTCCAGTGTGAGGACCACAAAAGACACATAGGAAGAGTAAAAATCACTGTCCAACACTACGCTTAAGCCCTAAGCCTTCAGATCACCTCCTGAGCAAATGAGGTTTCTGTTTATTTAATAACTTCAGGGGATTTCTCTTGTAGATCCTTGTTCAGCCTCTTCTTGTACTTGTTTAGCATTGAGTTTCACTGCCTGTTGCATAAACAACTCCTTTCTTTTACTATGCTTTGGCTTCATTTGATGACCCTGACTCTTGTGCCAGAAGAGACAGCGATTATCCCTATCCATCTCTCCAGGCTATTCATGTTATATATCTATTCCACGCTTACTATGGGGGGGCTTGAGTTAAGGTTTGCAGAGCAGCACATGGTGTTTGAGGGTTGCATGGACCAGAGATACAGATAATTGCTTAATAGTCTCTTTTTCTCTTCATTTTTTTTTCCATAATAATTCCTAACATTTTGCTTTCTTGCTGTTTCTTTAGGGTTTGGTGTGGGTTTTAAGTCCTGCTGAATATTAAGCTCATGTTTCCAATGAACTGTATATTATAGCTCCAAGGTCTTGGTCCTGTATGATGTCAGTTCAGATGCAATCATGGACTAGATGGCCTTTAAAGGTCTCTTTCAACCCTTCCAACCCCAACTATTCTATAATTCTATGACTTAGACAGTTAATTCTTCATGGTAGCTGTTATGTAAATACTCTATGCTGCATTTTCACAGGGTAACTATATGATAAACTTAGTAAGAACATCAGTCGTGCCAGACTATCATGTTCCAGTATGCTAGAAGAGTTCCAAGTCAACAAAACCAGTATGTATTTGATAAAGAGCAATCCAGCTTCCAGTTTTCTACGTAAATTTGCCTAGAGG